GTGGGTCAGTCGAGCAGCGGCCGGCTGGCTGGCTATCCATGTAGGAGGCACATTTCTGAGGCGTTGGATGCAGCATGTGGCATGTGGCAGCAATTGGGTCAACCCATGGGCCGACCAATGCCCACCTGCAGCTGACCCCACACCACACCACACCACACAGCACCCTTCCACCTTCAATGCAAAGAACAATTTCCATTCAAAATTGAAACTTAATCAGGAAAAAAAAACACTTGCAATGGCACAGGAAGTGTGTGTGTGTGCGAAAGTGGGCCTATCGACTAGGGGATACCTCTGAACAGATCTGGGAGAAGGATTTCGAAACGAGAACTGGCAGTAGGTTATACCCTTTGAATTTCTAAAGAACTGAAGCTGCGACTCAAGCTCACTTCACACCTGAGCGCAGGAGATTCGATTCCCTTCAACTGCGGGGTAGCTGGGTATGACAGACCGACAGAATGAATGGCCGCCACTTGAATGCATTTTAGCTGTGCTCCGGGCCACTCTTGGCCTCTTGGCGTGGGCCGCCTCGACAGGTTGGCCCAACTAGATGACGACGACGACGACGACTCAATAAACGAGGTTTTGGTTGGCTTATTGACAGCAGCGGGATTGGTTGGAGGACAGGAACGGTGCCACATTTGCACCGATTGTGCAATGGGTGGCAGGCACACACACACACACAAACACACACATGTGGCACAAGTGTGGCAAAGAATCTGAGAGCAGCTGAAAGCAGCTGGCCAAGCCAGCCAAACGGTAAATGTTGTACTCAGATCCATGTGCGACACGGACACCGACACGGACATGGATGGAGGAAGTTGTGTGTGTGGGACTGAGGGGGGACTGAGGTGCCTGGGGAGGCATAGGCTAACATTACCAGAGGCCCACATTGACATGCTCTGAATACTGTGGGGGCACTGAGTGGCGGAGGGGGGCACTCATTGTTGCTGCTGCTGCCCGCGGTCACAGCCGCTGCTGTTGGCTGCTGCTGTTGCTGTGTGGCTGTGTGGCTGTGTGGCATGCAGCAAGCACTTGCATCGCAGTCTTGAGAATGGCATTTTGATTTATTGGCTCTGGAGTTTCGATTGCATAATATCAGCATAGCAGCAGCAGCATCAGCATCAGCAGCCCTCCCCCCCAAAAAAACAATAACAAAAACAAACCTTTGGTGACTATGGAAATTGCAAAGCCAAATGAATTTTTTCCCACAATTTGCAAACAATAATGAAACCGTGGCTTACTGGCTGGCTTACTGGCTGGCTGGCTGTCTGACTGTCTGGTTGGCTGTCTGCCTGGTTGGCTAATTAAATCAAATAAGCCAGGCAAGCGCATTAAAAGTGCACACAAAAAGTCGAGCAGGCAGACACTGGACAAAGTAAAGAAAAAATTGGGAAATAGAATAGATTTATGTCACACGCCGAACAGTGAATGCTCTACCGAGCAACAGCAGGAAATCTCTGTGCCATTTGCTCAAAGAAATTTGAAGCGTATTTAATCCTTGGGCATCCCCTTTGCATCTGTCTAGCCGTAGGGATCCTTCTTCAGCTGTCTATCTTCTCCATAATCGAAATTTTGCCAGACATAAAATCTACAAGCATCAGCACCTCTTCGCTTTCGAAATTCCACTATAAAATAAATACAGTCCAAAAATTAAATCCCTTTTGTATATTTTCTCTCTACCCGCCCCCCACCTGTACCTGAACTTTACCTCTAGTGAAATCTTAACCTTTAGTCAAATCAAATTGCATAGCAATTAGGCTCAAACGGAAAGGGCATGGAGGCTGAAGGCAGACAACTACAAATGCACTCCACATCCATACGCGGCAGCAGCACTCTTTGGCATGCCACAAGTGGCCAAAGTGCTTACAGCCGGCCCGGCCGGCAACGACCGATAACAGACAAAGACAACAGAAATATGGTCAGAGCAAGGCAACAACAATAACAGCAACAACAGCAACAACGAAATTGGCAACAAAAAGGCAACCAATTAAGGCCAATTTAGTTGCAGCAACGCCGAGCGGCAACGACACAAGAAATAATCAGTGGAGAAACAAGTCAGGGAAGAGATAGCGCCCCCCCTCTCCTCCTCCTCATGGAGAGCCGAAGCTTGAGATACTCTTGCCAGATATCTAAATGTGTCATAAATTGTTTATGGATCCAGATATAGATAGATAAACTGGCCAACGGGCAGCACATGGTTGCGGAAATTCTTTAGGGATCTAGTTCTGCGCATAGTCGGAGTGCCCCGCTCTGGTAAGGGTATACAGCAAGCCACAGCAACGAGAGCAACGTCTCAGCATGCAAATGAGAGCAGCCAAGCAGCAGCAGCAGCAATGCAACCAAAGTAACTCGATACAAATTTTGCAAAGAAAAACAACACCAGCAACAACAGGCAACAGCCAACAGCCAACAGTGGCAAAAATTATGTACGGGTACGAGTACGAGTATTTCTTCTGTATGCAGGTATTTGTAAAAATTGTCACATTTTTTGTTTGTTTTTTTTTCTGTTGCAGCGCGGGAACTGTGAGAAAATATGCAAAGCAGCTGAAACAGAAAACTTTTTGATCTTTTTTTTTGGTCTTAGGGTGGGTCTCCTCGGGGCAATAAGTGCAGTCATAAATCCCGTGCTTGCCTCACAGTTTCACTGTGGTCTTAAGTTGCTTCCAGCAGTTCACTTGATCTATTCACTTCTGGGAGTTTTAGTCATAGGAGAATAAACTAAGTTTGTGATATGTTTGCCTTATTTGGGATATTTTTGAGCAAATTTAGAGGACATATTTTGCTGTAGCTTGAGGTTTTGAGGGTCCTAAGCCATGGAAGTATTAGCTTGCTAGTAAAAATCTTCAGATCCTTTGAGTATTACGATTATAGATCGCTTTTAAGCAGCACAGTGATCAAAGTTTGATAGATTAGTAAGATTAGTCGATGCAGATGCTGATATATAAGTTTAAATATTTAAATTTTGTATAGAAATCTATACAAAAATTGAAGGCACTAATGCACTAATTTGTAAGGTAAAATGTCCTCAAAACCATACAAATATATGGAATTTTTTAGGAAATAAATGCTACCAAAAACAGCTTGAATGTTTCCTTCTTTTACTAGAGAAGTATTACCTTAGCCCCATGCTAATTTACTCGATTGATATACCTTAAATATGTAGCCTCTTTTAACAACTGTACGTTAAATTCTAGTGCCCACTGTTTGCACGGGTTAAAAGTGCAATAGTGAATGGGAGCATACATATAAATATGTAGATAAAGATGATCTGTCTGATCTGTTGCTCTGTTCTGATTTCAGTAACGACAACGGACCCGCATTATCGATGATGAGTGTGTGGCAAGCACACACACACACACACACACATACACAGGCACAACAGTGTCACAGTGGAGCCAGGCAGCAAACAGCATTCAAGTGCAATTGCTGAGAAATCTTCATTTTTCAATAACAAATACACGAGTAGGAAGGTTTTCCATAAACTCAGTGATGGGGCACAGTGAGGGGACAGACGGCTGGGGGGGGGCAGAGTGCGGTTGCATTGTTTACCCAAGGCGGAGCGCGGCTTTGAAGGCGTTGAGGGGGCTTCGAGAGGCTGGTAACGAGCCGGCCTTAAAGCCGCAGCTTTTATTTTTATGTGTTTTTTTTTTGGCTGTGCGCCCATCAAAGCTTAGGCCAGCAAGTGCCGTGACCTTTTTCTGTCTTTCTTTCAATACGAGTTCTTTTTTGGAACTTTTTTGGATTTTTAGGGGGGCGGGGGCAGAAACCGAATCTAATTGCGCGAGCGGCTCTCCGCAAGTGGCAGGTAGCAGCTCCCCCCTCAGCCCCTTTAGTCACGCGCCGTTGGTGTTAAAAGACGGGAGAAGAGTGGCATTATCTTTGTGCCACAGAGAGTTGGGGGCACGGCACGGCACACAATCAATTTATATAGCTGGGGCACACACACACGCATACGCACGCACACACCCACGCATATTCCCCGGCTTCTGCAGGTGGCAGGCAGGCAGGCTGGCAGGCAGCGCGGCTTGCAACGCAACCCGTTTTTGGTTGCAAGAAAAACTAAACTTTTGCACACACTTGTTCACTTTCTTCTTGCTGCTGCAACCATTGCGTATGTGTGTGAGTGTGTGTGTGGATTGTCCACAGCATCCCGTGAACTGAAAGTAACTGTAACTACATATGCGTGCATCTGTGTGTAGCTTGCACTCACTCACTCTCATACATTTGTACATACCTGTCCAGCAAATTAGCAAAACCGCAAAATATGTGTCGCTTTCAATTGCAATTGCAACTCGACTCGGACTCCACTCGAACTTTAGACCAGACCCCTTGTCCACCGGCTTACAAACACGGCCAAAACACACACACACACGAATTCGTAGCGCGACGCCACGGACTTCAGCACTTGCGTAAATATTTGTCTTGGCGAGAATAAAATTTGAAGACGCGAAACCAAACGAAACGAAGCGTATTCTGGATCTCCGTTGAATGCAGCCCCAGCGCAGCGCCAAGCGCCAAAACAGAGAGAGAAATGGGAGAAATGGATGCACTTGACGACGACGGCGTGCAGAGATGAAGAGCATAAGTTCCCGCGGTAAAAATGGACTAGAAAATCCCACATAAGTGTGACCAATGCCAATTTCTAGCTGTCACTCTCGTTCTCCTAGCATTCTAACTGACGGTTCTTAATATTCTCTTCTATTCAATACAGCTCTGTCGCGTTTGGCTAATTGACTTGAAATACACACATCTAAATAGTTAAATGTCAAAGGCATTCAAAGAACATTATTTAAAGCTGAATTTATTCCTATAGGCCACTTTTTTTAAAGCTTTTCATACTCATATTCAAATAGCCAGTGGGACCAAAAGGTATTAAAAATACTAAATAATACTAAGCATCAATTCGTACGACAATTTTTCACAATGGCTCCGTGTGAATTGCAGCCCTGTGTAGTTGTCATGTAGCAAACTTAATTCGATTTTGTGTAAATTTTCCAGCTCCTTTTATTTAAACTATAATTAATAAACTATCTAACAAAAACGAGCATTTAAAGTTAGTCAATCTTATAGAAAATGGATTACTTTATTGGATAAAATTATATGTTCTGTGTTGTGGGTGCTAGTTAGCTAGAGACTGCAAGGCGAATATCAAAATCGTGGAATATCAACGCTATCACCGAAGGCAGCGCTGCCGACGTCGCTGCTTCACTCGTTTTTTCCACTCACTTGTTCCATTTTTTTTAACGTACGCAGCAGCCACAGCACCCCCGAAAATATGCTAAAATCCGAGGTGCAACACCAATTTTGGATCACCAAGAAGGCGGTGCAGCGCAAGCTGGGCTCCAAGGAGGACAAGCACATAATATCCTCGGACGCGGACCTAGACGCCAAGATTGAGGTTTTCAAATCAATATCGGACACCAGTCTGGAGCTGTGCAAGATAATAGACCAGTACCAGGAGCGCCTGTGCATCCTGTCGCAGGAGGAGTGTGTCTTTGGCCGATTTCTGAAGGAGGCGGGCAAGCGGAGCAAGACGACGGGCAACAGCATCAACCACACAGCGAAGGCCATGTCCTTTGCAGGACAGCAGCGGATGTGTGTGCGGGTGCCATTGCTGCGACTGCAGCACGAGGTGGACGTGTTTCGCTGTCGCGCCATCAAGGACACGGAGGTCACGCTGCAGACGATGGAGAAGGAGCGAACGGAGTACAGAGCCGCCCTGTGCTGGATGAAGTCGGCCAGCCAGGAGCTGGACCCCGACACGGGCAAGGGCCTGGATAAGTTTCGCACTGCCCAGGCACATGTGCGCGTAGCCAAACACAATTTCGATGGCTACTCCTTGGACTCCATCCAAAAGGTGAGCCAGCGCCAGGCACTGTCAATTCAAAGTGAAGATTGATGGATTCTTTTGTTTCCAGATTGATTTGCTGGCTGCGGCTCGCTGCAATATGTATTCGCATGCTTTGGTTGCCTACGTGGCGGAGCTGAAGAGCTTCGCCCAGAAAGCCGCCTCCACATTCCAGACGATATCCAATGCGCTGATGGCCAAGCCCAAGTACGACTTCTGTGTGCTGAAGGAACTGTCCCAAAACGAGGGACCCAGCGAGAAGGTGCCGCCGCTTGATGCCGTCGATAAGGATCAGTCGCTGTTCTTTGCTGTGAGTGTGGCTTACCGTACCGCACCCCCTGGCTGCATCCAGTTGAACGTGGCTTCATTTTTCAGAGTGAATATCAGGACAAGCCAGACTCGTCGTTGGAGTTGAAGCAGCCACCACCCAGTGGGGAGAGAGCCCCGTCAGAGCCAGCCCCCCCGGTCTGCGGCGACAATGAGTCCCTGCTCATAGAACTCTCCAAGCAGCTGGAGGAGGATAGTCCGCTGATCGATGCGCCCGTGGGGCAGGAATCCCCACTGATGGATGCCAATCACACGAGCACCAACAGCAAGTTCTGGGCACGCATGTTCAATCAGCAGCAGGCGCAGAAGCCAATGCCAACCACCACAGCCGCAAAGTCAGCCACCAGTGGCCCAGCTCTGACGGCAGCTGTCAGCAAATCCCAGACGACCAACAATCCGTGGCTGGACCTTTTTGCCGATCTGGATCCCCTGGCCAATCCGCAGGCGTTCGATCTGAAAATGAGTGGAGGACGCAGCGTGGCGGAGCAGACATAAAATTGGCGTACGCCTTGGTTTCCGGCCCAATCCCGTCGGCATATACACATAGTACGAATATATAGCATATATATATATATATATCTTTACATACCTGTGGGAACTAGCTAGTCAAATGGAGAAGAATCTTTGGATGTAACTTTTCGCTAAACGTTCAAAAACTTTTTATGGTTTATTTAAATAAAATTTATATGGGACACAGCAGCTAGAAGAGGAGTAGTGTAGTGTTTCGGGGGTTCGCTCTCATTTGACCGCCGCCTGAGCCTCCTTTTTGGAGTTGACCAGCTCGACCAGCTCCTTGACGCGTCGCAGGCAATCCTTTTTACTGCGGTTCGGTATGCAGGCAGCAATGCAGTCCCAGCGATCGGGTGTCGTGGTCGGATAAGATTTAATGGCCTGCTCTAGCAGAGCCTGCTCCTCCTTGGTCCAGGTCTTGGATGCACCACCACCGCCGCCGCCCCCTGTGCCATTGGTCAGGGGAGCTGCCGAAGGCTCTCCCGCTGGTGCTGCTGATGCTGCAGCTGTTGGGGCTGCTGGTGTCGCAATGCCGTTCTGCTTGGGCTTCTGATTGTTCACCTGATTGGGATGGGCACCGCCATTCTGCTTGACATTCTCCTTGCTCTCCTGTGAGGGCGCCTCCTCGCCAATGGTTATGTCGTTTGAGACTTGCACTTCCTTCTTGGACTTCTCGAAGCTGGCAAAGGCGGCATCGTTGGCCTGTGTCTTGAGGCTGCTCTTGGAGTGATCGCTGTTCTGCAGGGCCTTGGCCTTGTTCAGTACATCTCTGGCCAGGACCTGGGCCCCTCCCGAGCCACTGTGCTGATTGATAAACGTTGCGATTACGTCCCAACGCTGGGCAGTACCGGCCGGGAACAGGTTCACCGCCTTGATGAGCAGCTGAACATTTTCGTTGCTCCAGAGTTCGCCCTTCTTCACCTCCTTGACGCTGGCTTTGGGTGCAGCGGCGGTCGCCAGCTTCTTTTGGTGCGTCTGGTTGATCTCCTCCAGTTCAGCGGCGATTTTCTGATCGGCTGTCTGAAGGGCAGCCACAAAGGATTCGCGACCTTTTGACTCCATGGCCTTGTTCAGAGCCTGCAGCTCGGCCAGGTTAAATGTTTCGCATATTTTCTCTGTGCCCTCCATGTGCTTCAGCTGATCCTTGTCGTTTTTGGCATAGTATTTGCATTCCTTAACCTTGTCCCGAAGCGTTTTCCGCTCCTTCTTGAGCACCTTCTTCTGCTGCTCGCGTTCAATACGAATTTGCTCGATGCGCTTCTGTTCGGCCTTATCGGCGCGCTCTTTGGCCATGGCCGCCTCGCGTACGGCCTTCTCCTGCTCAGCCTTTTGAGCCTGGACGGCATCCATTTTGGCCCGCTTTGCCGCCGCCTTGCGGTCCTTCTCCTCCTGCTTGAAGCGCTGTATACGCTTGTCGTTGTTATACGCCAAATTGACAAGGTCTCGAATGCGGCTCATCTCCTCCTTTTTTCGCTTGATGCGCGCCGCCTTGTTCTCCTTCTCGATCCAGCGACGCTCGTCCCGATCCTGACCCTTCTCCTTGTCCTCCTCGTCCATGTAGCTGAACTCACGCCACGATTTGAAGTCATACCAGAAGTTATAGAAGCGCTCAACCTCCTCGCGCTTAGCGTCCACCTCGCCGAAGACTGGCACCTGCGGCTTCTCGCTCCAGCGTCCATTCAGCTTGAACATTTTGTTGAATACCGCGAAATAGTCATTATCGATGTCTGTTTGCGAGGGTAGCGAGTCGTCGAATTCGGGATCCACAGAATCAAAACTGCGGCGTGGCTTGGAAGTGCCTGGTGGTTGGTGAAAATAAATATAGATTACAGAAGGAACTAATGCAAACAACGAATTATGGTACGAACCCAATATCTCGTAGGCCTTTGTTATGCACGTGAAATAGTCCTCGTCGTTGATCACCACCTCACCCTTGGCTTTTCGCTTGTCCGGATGGTGCTGCAGCACCATGCGTCTGTAGGCGCGACGAATGTCATCGTCACTGGCTTCGAATCTGCAAAAGGAACAGACGCGCACAGTCAGACACGTGCTCAGCAGAAACACACACTAACACGCACACACTCGCGCACACAAAGAGGCCAGGTCAGGCCTAGATGAGTTGAAGGGAGTGGGGGGGAGGGGCGACTTACCTCAATTTGCCCAGGCCGAGGACACTGTAGTGATCTTGGTCCTTCCACTCCTTGGGATCTAGGGACTTGAGGTAGCTGATGTCCACTTCCTCGCCGACGCCCTCCAACTTCTCATCGGATTCACTGCGCTCGACACCACCTGGCGCGATTTTGCGGCGTGCGTTAAAATAGGCGAAGCCAACGCGCTCGATTAGGTGACGCGCGACCTTGAGCGGTACCTCCAACTCCAGGCTGTTAGTCATGACGTCCCAGTTACCAAAACAAGCACGTCTATTACATAAAACACCAACTTCACTTTAAAATTTTATTGGAATAAACAAATTCACAAAATTAATTCGCACCACGTTTATTTTCCCAGTGACCGCGGACGACCCTCAGAAACATACCAAAATATACCTTCTCCTTTTTTAAATATACCGAAGAAAAAAATAATTATTCCACAAAACCCCTTCTATTTAAAAAGTGAAAACACTTCAATAAATACGCGGAAAATAATACTGCTTGGTATATTCGTCTTCTTTACTGACAAAAAAAATAGTAGTACTATGATAACTATCACCTGAAATGCGTAAGAAATGTTTCAAGTTGAAATACACCCTTGTTGACAATGGGTTAATTTAATCCCAGAATAGCTATTCTATGTACAAAAATATCTTTAGAATTCGATAACTATGATCGAACCGATGGATTGGGTCGGAGCAAGAATAGGAAAAAACGAAAATTAAAAATGCTGCAAAGCATCCGAAACTCAAGCAATTATGAACGAATCTTATGAGAAGAGCAGCAGCAGCACAGCGTGCTCCACACCCACAGCTGGGACGGACTTGCCCGAACGCCACGATGTGAGCGACACCTTTTACACCAGCCAGCGAAAGGGTAGGAAGTACGTGTTTCGCGTACGGCTGGACATCAACGGCTTCACACTGCAGCGCGAGTCGCCCAGCGGAACCATTGTCAAGGAGCAGACTGTGAAAATATGCGATATTGTTGGTGCACGATGCATGCGTCTGAAGAAGACGCGCCGCCTGGTGGCCAGTGCGTGCGCCTGCAGCAACGGCAATCCAAATTCGCCCGCAGCCTCGGTCAACCGCAGTGGGGCCACGCCCAGCAAGTGCAGCACGGCCAGCAAGGAGGATTATCCCTGCGACGGCGATGTGAGCGCCTACCTTTACGTGTTTGCCTATGTCCTCAAGAAGAAGAGCCTGCGTAGTGAGTTCCACAGGGAGCGCACTGTCCTCACACTGCGCTTCCGGTCGTTTGACACCTTCGAGGACAATATGCGCGAGGCGGATCGCTGGTATCGCGCCCTGCGCTGGCAGCTGCATCGCACGCTGGAGAGTATCTTTGTGGTGCGGAACGAGGAAGATCGACGACGTCGTGTTTTGGTCATGCTCAATCCAAAGTCGGGCTCGGGAAATGCCCGGGAAGTGTTTAACATGCATGTGACGCCTGTGCTGAACGAGGCCGAGGTGCCGTACGATCTTTACGTAACGAAGCATTCCAATTTCGCCATTGAATTTATGAGCACCCGTTGCCTGGACGCCTGGTGCTGCGTTGTCGCTGTCGGCGGCGATGGGCTCTTCCACGAGATAGTGAACGGACTGATGCAACGCGAGGACTGGGCAAAGGTGCTGCCCAAAATAGCCCTTGGCATTATTCCCTGCGGATCCGGCAACGGCTTGGCCAGGTCCATTGCCCATGGATACAAGTGAGTGTAGAAGATTCAGACTCTTCGATTACGAGTTTCTATTTATTAATGTCATATTTTGTGTCTCCTACAGCGAACCGTACTTTAGCAAGCCAGTGCTGGGTGCCGCATTGACCGTCATCAGCGGCTGCAGCTCCCCGATGGATGTGGTTCGGGTGCAGCTGCAGAATCGATCCCTGTACTCCTTCCTATCCATCGGCTGGGGCTTCATTTCGGACGTGGACATTGAGAGCGAGCGCATTCGTGTGGTGGGCTATCAACGCTTCACCATCTGGACCCTGTACCGCTTGGCGAATCTCCGCACTTACAATGGCAAGATCAGTTACCTGCTCACCGAGCCGCATGAACCGTCGGGAGAGGAGGATACGCAGCACACACCGCAGCTGAAGATGCAGACGAGTAGGAGCTGCAACACTCATATCGACAAACTGTCCACAACCAACAATAACCCGAGCTTCCATCATTCCAACGAGTACCTGCCGCATGAATTTGCGGATGTTATCTCGCTGGAGACGTCTATCAATCAATCATTTCGATCCCGCTGTGACAGCTGGCTCTCGGGCGGGTCCCGGCGCAGCTACTATTATTCCATATCCGAGAGCATCTATCACAGTTTGGCTGACGAGAGCGACTTTGCCGTTCAGGCGGCGATGGCCCTGGAAAATCGCCAGCAGAACTTTGGGCCGACGAGCAGCCTGCCTGAGCTGGATGAGCCGCTGCCAGAGGACGAAGGATGGCTTGTCGAGGAGGGCGAATTCATCATGATGCATGCCGTATATCAGACACATCTGGGAATCGATTGCCACTTTGCGCCCAAGGCCCAAATGAACGACGGCACCATTTATCTGATTCTCATACGCGGCGGCATCAGTCGCCCCCAACTGCTCAGCTTTCTGTACAACATGAGCACGGGCACACACCTGCCCGAGGTGAACAACGAGTACGTGAAGGTGCTGCCGGTGCGTGCCTTCCGCCTGGAGCCACACGACAATCACGGCATCATCACCATCGATGGCGAACGCGTCGAGTTTGGGCCACTGCAGGCCGAAGTACTGCCGGGCATTGCCCGTGTGATGGTGCCCAAGTGAAACTACAGGAAGAGGAGAAAGAATTTCAGACAGGAGCAATATAATCTCTTTATAGGAATCTCTGCATTTTGTATATGTAGCAAATATTTGTTATTGGTACTTAGGAGTAATGGAAGCTGTGCATTCTTTTTTGTCATTTTGTAGTTGCATGCTTCTACAAAATACATACCTTTATATTGTTAACATTTTCAACATTAAATTAACAAAACAAAAATATATTAGCATGTACATATATACAATTTAAAAAATAACTGCCGCTCCACATTGAACTGCTGTGGCAGCAGACAATCGTTATCGATAGGTTCTAGCTGAGAAAAATCGAAGAAGAAAAAAACAAATGCGCCTGCAGTATATAACGGTATAAATCAACATTATCAACTATTAAATATAATTTTGAAGGGTATAGTAGAGAACAAACTGAGTCCCTGTTTTACATCGATATCAAGGAAATTTTTAGGTTTATAGATTCCGAGAATATGTATCCAGATCGTACACAAAATACCTGAACAGGTTACAAACAAGTCATTCTTAATTTTTAAAAGTTGCTTGCAAAATTGAATATAAACATTAATTAAATGAAATAGGGTATAGAAATGACGTTGGTACCGTTTGACAAGTAAACTAGAGCTCAAATTACGTAACATTCCATTCCCACTTGCGTTTTATGCTTTTATTGTTCGTGGACCTTTTTTGTGTAAAACTTATTTTATAAGCAATTCAATAAAAAGGAATTTCCAAAGTTAGCCAATATTGTTGAAAATTTATGCATCTATCGGGTAAAATAATATTTTCCGTGTTTAAAGTTTTAGCTTGCTAGTAATATTGAACTGAATATTAAAATGGGGGAACATGATTTCCGTTCATGGACAGAGAACGTTTAACCCATTGTCGACCAGTGGGAATTCCAATTTACGCACGAATGTATTGAAAATATTAAAAAATTTGTCGCATTTAAATTGAAAGATCTCGTAAATTATTTGTAAGTAAAAAGGATGGCGCTACAATCATGGCGCGATGTATATACAAGTAGCATATTAAAACTGAATTATTTTCCGCGGCTTAACTCAAGTTGTTCACTGTAAAATAGAGCGGGGTTAGGTGGGTTAAATTCGATTCCTAGGTATATTTACGACACTAAATGCCTGTAAAAAACCAATTCGTTGGAAAAAAAATTTGATAAAGACGACAGTTGCTCTGTGTCAGCACATTCCATACCAAGGAAGAGGAAAGAAGAGGCTCTTGAGTACCAAAGATACAGTTTTCATCCGCGAAAGCAGCGTCAAGTGTAACAATATGTCGTCCGAGGAGCTGGCGCCAATTAACGAGCAGGACCTGAAGGACCTTAAGGAGCGCATGAAACTGATTGTGGAAGCGGATCCCAAGCAGTACCACAATGATTTCTCTCTCAGGCGATATCTGCGCGCCTTTAAGACAACAGATGACGCATTCCAAGTAAGTTGTCACCTGAGCCCACCACCCTCGGCAGAGCTTACGTCGATTATTCGAACCACCCACACAGGCCATACTGAAGACGAACAAGTGGCGTGAGACATATGGCGTGGAGAAGCTGGCCGAGATGGACCGCAGCCAGCTGGAGAACAAGGCCCGTCTGCTGCGCCACCGCGACTGCATTGGCCGTCCAGTTATCTACATTCCGGCCAAGAACCACGGCTCCTCCACCCGTGACATTGATGAGCTGACCCGTTTCATTGTCTACAACCTGGAGGAGGCGTGCAAGAAGTGCTTCGAGGAGGTCACCGACCGACTGTGCATCGTCTTCGACCTGGCCGAGTTCAGTACTTCGTGCATGGACTACCAGCTGGTGCAGAACCTCATCTGGCTGCTGGGCAAGCACTTTCCGGAGCGCCTTGGCGTCTGCTTGATACTCAATTCGCCGGGCCTCTTCTCCACCGTTTGGCCGGCCATTCGCGTGCTGCTCGACGACAACACCGCCAAGAAGGTGAAGTTTGTCAGCGATGATGTGGATCTATGTCAATACCTGATACCCGACATTCTCCCCACTGACATGTAAGCCGGTGCCCGGCCCCTCGTTTGATTACAATTTAGTCGTAGACATATCTCTAAAGAGAAACCAGTACCTAAAGGCGGTGAGCGAATGGAAAGCGAACGAGGTGTAGGGAGGCTTCTGTTAGCTTTGACCCTGTGTACTCTATGTGTAAATCGATGTGTTTAACAAGTGTTGATTGTATTTTATTGCCCAACCTACTAGTACAAGCGACTATTTTAGATAAAGGTTTATCTATGCGCATATTTATATATTGTATATAGCATCAGTAGTATACCCCATATACCTTGTATTCGTACTCTATACTATATGTATATGCATGTGTCGATGTGTACAGAAAAATAAAGTTCTAAAACGAAACTCTCGCAAAGATTAAGCAGTGGTACGACACATCACACATGACGCACACCCACGCAGCCTGATAGTGGTGCAATTTTTTAGAGTGCTTGTCAACCCATAAAATGATAACAATCATAATCCAATTCTTATCTAAATAGTGGTATTGATTGCAAATGGCATTCATTGATTTCAAAAGCTTTTTATTTTGCGCCAGCAGTGGGCTTTTGTGCGCTAATCAACACTGATCCAGAGGTGCTCTTCAGTCGTAGCGACTTTTTGTTGTCGTCTTTAAATAAAACATTTCCACTGAAAATATAAGATAATTCACCTATTCACGGAGTAAATCTGCTTTAACTCTAGCTTTTAATTTGTAGAGTTTTTTTATTCTATATTTTTCCATTTTCCAGCACTGACCCACAACTAGTTATCAGCCGGAATTGAAACCAAAACACTTGAAGCATTTGATAAGCGAAACTTGAACCCCTGCGGACTAATATGAGACGCCCCAATAACAACAAAATGGATAAGCCAATTTCAACCAGCTTGGGGCGACAGTAGCGGCGTTCGAATATCAGTGAAATACGGAGCGTGCACTGAGAAACATGTCGACCTCGACCACATCCGATGATGCCCCGCCTGCAACGGCTTATATAGCCGCAATAGACGTTGGAACAACTTGTGTCCGCTGCTTTGTGCTCGACGAGAAGTGCCTGGTCAAAGGGTCGGCGACTGATGCGGTAAGTTAATTGATCGTTCGACAACTGGCTGTGGCAAAATTTAATGAAAATTGTTTTCTGTGTGGCTGGCTGTTAGGTGGAACTATTAAATCCGCAGCCGGGCTATTTCGAAATTGAGCCAGAGAGCTTGTGGCGCAAGATTGTGAATGTGATAACCCTGGCGATACGGGGTAAGTGCCTTACGCTCTCCCCAGACTCTCGCTCCCTGTTAATTCTTGGGGTCGGGTCGTGCCTGTTTCAGATGCCAAGCTGACGCCCGCGCAGATTACCTGCCTAACCATCTCCACGCAGCGCTGTACATTCCTGACCTGGAACCACAAGACCGGGGAATACTACCACAATTTCATCACCTGGAAGGATTTGCGGGCCGACCAACTGGTGGATCAATGGAACTGCAGCTGGACCAAACGCTCAATGAATGGGGTCTCCTATGCCCTGTATTTGGTCACCAGGAATCCTCGCTTCCTGGCCGGCAGTGTGTTAAAGCTGATGAATGGCCAGGTGACGCCGCGACTGCTCTTTGAAATAGTCCACAACAAGCGACTGAAGCAGGCACTGCGCGAAAACAAGGCTCGGGTGGAGCTGCTAGACTCTTGGATACTCCACAAGCTGCGCTCGGGCAATGGCATAGACACGAGTATCGAGCATATCACCGATATAACCTCGAGCACAGCCACCGGACTGTACGATCCCTTCACGCTCAGCTGGTCGCCGCTCATTAGCTGGCTTTTTGGCTTAGATGTGAGTGCAAGAGGGGAATTTCCGAACAGTATTAGCTCCAATGGTCTCCCATTCTAGGCAAAGATCCTGCCCCGCGTGGTGGACAATGGCTACAAGGGCTTTGGGCATGTTCATCCAGCCGCCTTTGGGCCGGATTGGGACAACACTTGCATACCCATTGCCGCCTCGCTCAGTGATCAGGCGGCGTCCATGTGGGGCTCTCAGTGCTTTAGGAAGAACGACGTCAAGGTCACCATGGGTACGGGGGCCTTTCTTAATTTGATTACGGGCACCGAATGCCGTGCCGCAGTCAGCGGCATGTATCCTCTGGTGGCCTGGCAAATCAAGAACAAATCAAAGAACCAAGGCGCCGTCTACTGCATCGAGGGGGCATCACATGACTTTGGCACTGTGGTGACCTGGGCGCAGTCCTGTGAGCTGTTCAAGAAGCCAAACGAAACGTCGCACATTGCCGAGTCTGTGCCGGATACCAACGATGTGTTCTTTATGCCCGCATTCAGTGGTCTGGGGGTGAGTGCAGCACAACGCAAGTGGGCTTAACTCTTCTATAGGTATACACTCATTTCTCTTTTTTTTATAGCCACCTGTGAACGATTACCGCTCTGCCAGCGGTTTTATAGGACTTACACCGTCTACTACCAAAGCACACATGGTGCGTGCCCTGCTCGAGAGCATTGTCTTTAGGCTGGTCCAACTGATCGATGCCACCGAGAAGGAAACCTCGCAAAAGCTCAAAATGATTAGGTAATCTTCCGCCCGTCTATTTTCACATTTTCTACCATTAAAAATCTATTTTATCTTCTATCAGAGTTAGTGGCGGCGTCTCGCGCAATGATTTTGTCTGTCAGTTCCTGGCTGATCTCAGCCGCCTGAAGGTGGAGCGTGCCGAGAACATAGAGTCCAGCATCATGGGTGCCACATTCATGGCGGGCATCAATCACGGCATCTGGAACGATGTAGAAGATCTCAAGTGTTTTCACAAAGTGGAGCGGGTGTTCGAGCCACGTCCCAAGGTCTACGAGGAGGTAATTGAGCGCATGGACAAGTGGAGTCGGGCCATAGACCGCTTCAGTGACTGGTACTAGGGGCGTGTGGACGGACTACTTTTTGCATTACTCTCTATTTGTTATACACTAAAGCAATTAAATTACTTAGGGGCTAGTAAAATATTGGATGTCGTAGTAAAATGCTGTCGGTGCTCAGTCTTTCAGTTGAAGCGCTGCTGGAAGTTCTGCTGCTGATTGAACATCATCTGTTGCTGTTGCTGCTGCTGCTGTTGTTGTTGTTGTTGTTGTTGCTGCTGCTGCTGATGGTGGAAGTCCTGCTGATTGCCGGCTCCCGACAGGCGCACCCGCTTGGCATTCGGCTCGTTGGGGTTCATCTGCTGCTGCTGCTGTTGTTGCTGCTGCTGTTGTTGTTGTTGTTGTTGTTGTTGCTGTTGCTGCTGCTGCTGCTGTTGTTGTCGCTTGTTGTCCGACTTATCCTCCTGGTCGTCGTCGGTGAGGAACTCACGCTTGGGATACGGTATGGGGCAGCCCGCAAAGACGTCCTGCGTCGGCAGTGGCTCCTCCTGGAAATACTGATCCTGCATGGCCTGCTCGGAGGTGATGCGCTTGTTGGGGTCCATAAGCAGCAGCTTCTGCAGCAGATGGAACGCCTTGCTGTCGGGCTTGATCTTGTGCCGCTCCATGTACTTGGCCAGTGAACAGGTCGAGTAGGTGGAGCGCTTAAAGTCCTTCGTGAGTGTATGATGCTCGGGCATCTTCTTGATATCCTCCCAGTCCTTGTCCTGCGGAAAGCCCATCACATTGAATATGCGATCCAGCTGGTCGTGGTGATACGGATTGCTGGTCTTGATGTCCTCCTGACGGCAGTGGAAAATCGGCTCGGATGTCAGCAGCTCGGCAAAGATGCAGCCAATGGCCCAGATGTCGATGGCCTTGGTGTAGTGGCGCGCACCCAGCAGCAGCTCTGGCGCGCGATACCAGAATGTGACCACAACGGGGTCAAGGTCGGCCAGTGGCTTCAGTGGAGCATTGAAAAGGCGGGCAAAACCCATGTCGGCAATCTTTACGCGCCCCCGCTCATTGCCGTCGCCCATGACCAGAATGTTGGCTGGCTTCAGATCACGATGCAGCACCCAGTTGCTGTGCAGGTAGTGTATGCCATCCAGAATCTGGTACAGCAGACTCTTGACCATTCCCCGGGGCACAACCACCTGTTTTTTGGTTGCCTTCGCCGCACGATGGAACTTGATGATGTGCCACAGATCGTGCTCGGCATAGTCGATGAGCAGGAACACCTTTCGGTCGTTGTGCGAGAGGAATACCCGTATAAGGGTAATCACGTTCTGGTGCTTGAGCTCCCGCAGCAAAGCGATCTCTCGGCAGGCGGACATGGATAGGCCCGTGCCGTCGATCTGCTTAAGGGCGTACTCCTTGCCATCGCTGTAAAACAGAAACAATAGTATTGGGAGTTATGGTTGATGCTTGCTCCCGGTCCGGTCCCTACCTCGTCTCTTTCCACTTTGCCTTGTACACGTGGCCGTAGGTGCCGCGGCCCACCTTGCAGCCCTCGTAATTGAACAGGTCCTCCACCTTGGTGCGCTCCATTTGCGTTTTCATCTTAAAGTCGTAGTCCATTTTGCTAAAATTTGCCAAAACAAATTGTTTGTAAATTATGAGGCCGCCAATCCAGCTGTTTTCCGATATTATCGTATCAAAAATAAAAAATATCACTTATATCGATATAATATCAGAATTCTATCGCTTATAAAACCATCGATATTCTCCATATCGATACCGCAAGCACGTTTCGCGTTTGTTTTGATTCAATAAAATTCAGCTAACATGGCAAAAACCAAGAAAAATATACGCGCCAAGGCCAAAGGAGCTGTGGGCGTGGCCAAGCAAAAGGCCCAGGATGTGCAGGCGCAACTGAACAAGTCCGAGCGACTGCTGCACAAGACCCTCACGCCCAAGAAGACTACAACGAAGAAGGAAAAATCTGCGCTCAAGCATAAGAAGCTATTGCAGCGCTTCGCCGACTCCCGGAAAGAGCGCAAAAAGGACCAGTCCGGCAAGAAGGGCGAAAAGAAAACCGTCGTTGGGGATCTGAAGCCGCTGCGCGATGCCCTGCCCTCGCTCTCGGATCTCTACAAGCTGGTGAAGAGCAAGTCGAAGGATGCACCCGAGCTGAAGGCGCTCACCGAGCCCGAGGCACAGCTAAGTGTCAAGCAGAAGATCAAACAGAAGCGCGCTGACATGGTGAATCGTGTAAAGTCCTTTGAGAAGCTCGTCAAGGACAAGAACTTCAAACAGAATCCACGCAGCGTGATCGGATCCCTAGTGCGCAACAAGTACCAAACAATGGAGGAAGACGAATAATAGACTGGACCGGAATACGGAGTGCCCACCGGAGTGCCTGAAAGTCCCAGAGGAAAGAAATGCCTTGCACTTTGATTTATTTATTAATTAAGAATTATAATTAATGTATATGCATTAGGTATAGTTTTATCATTTATTATTAACGACAATGCATATCATATAAATATTACACATACGAATGTAAGTTTGTAAGCATTTAAACGTAGACGGTCAACAAAACGCGATTAGAATTAGACAAGATTGAATGTGTGTGTTGTGTTCTGTAGTGTAGTGTAGTCTGGGTTCCGTTCCACTCGCATGGAGTACGTTACTTCGGGGCTATGCTAGGTCTAGAGCTTACATTACATCAAAGAATGGTTACTGCATACGACACATGCTCGTAAATCTGTTTAGCTTGGTGTTTCTTTTTGTTTTAGTCTTCTTACAGTGCTACATCTACTTTATGGTTACTTGTTTTGTTAGCGGGTGTGTGCTGGCTGGCTCCTTTCTGTGAGATCATTAAACGCTAGTCAAAAACACACCAACAATCAATCCTATTCGCATTCTCTCCTCGCCTGCACATACAAAAATAACAGTTATTCGTATTGAAAGCGTCTTACCCAAAAAAGTGGCCTCCTCTTCATGTTTACAAAAATTTTGAAAGCAGTTTCTGGACAAATATTGATACTAATCTTAGTTATTCACTAAATTTTGGTTACAACCTAACGCGTTACACTGTGATTCTTCTGAACGTGATTGCAATTATATTTATGTGTCGTTTCTGTGCTGGGAGTTGGATTGAAGGGGCGGGGCGGGCGGGTATACACCTGGGGGTATACATATACAGTAGAAGAAAATATAAACTATGCCTAGGTTTTTGCACATTAGAGTTGAAACAACGAATCTTAAACTAACTTGAATATGCTTCTCTCTGCGTATTTTCATCGACTATGTTCTACTTGTTTAGCAGAAACATAAGCAGCCTGCAAAAAAGACATGGAATTAGTTGGTATTAGAACACAGATAGAGCTGAGCTGCTGAGCTACTGATCTGCTTACCGGAAATTGATGCCTTTGTTGGCCAGCATACGATTGCATTCACTTGAGCCGCTGCCTCCAATGCCATCAGGCAGCGGCAACACATAATAATCGCTCTCAGTGTTCTACATATAAAGAGAAAGTCAAGCATTAGCATTGATAATACATTGAGAATATAAATATATCGTATATTGTGTAGAAGAGTAGCCCCACCGTTTCTGTAAACTCGTGCTTGTAGATCTGTGTGCACACCTTCATGTCAGAGAATGGGCCCTTCAGGGCAAAGAAATGTATGCTCATGGGCGTGCTGGTCTTGGTCTTCAGGATCAGCTGATAGGTGATGGTGCGCTCGTTCGATTGATGCGGATCGCGCTGGCTATTGTTGATGCGCGCCTTCACCACCCACTGCTGATTGAAGGCCGAGAACCGGGCCGTCTCATAGAACAACTTGTGCACATACTCGTCCGTGCGATAGGGTTTCATTTGTAGATCTGCACAAAACCAATAAATATATATAAATTACGAACTCGAACTAAAGTCAAGTATAGTAGTGCGCACCATTAAAGATGATCTTCTCATAGCTGAGCAAATCGATCAGTGTACTGAACATCTTCTTCTCCTCCTTGATCTTCAGATCGTGGGCTTCGAGGGCAGCCATCACCTCGTAGCCAGACTTCTTGGGGTGCGAGCAATTGCGTTCGTGTTCAGTTGCTAGAGAGAATAACGAAATTATAGAATTAGGAGTCAAAATACTGGTTGGGTGGGTGGGACTCACTCTCATGGTAGGGGCCGCGCCACTGGCAGCCAATGCGATGATATTTGCATTTAGTGGGACGCTCCTGGCACTCGTGTTGTTCATGGCGTTCAAGAGATTTGTATGGGAATTCTTTGTTGCAAAACTGTGGAAGATTCAAAGGTCAAAGATTGAGTTTAACGAGTGAGATCAATGTGACACATGCCTGACACTCGCTGGGCAGCTCGGAGGCAGCCTTCTCTACGGCCAGGTTGCGTGATGCAGTGCTCTTTGATATCTCCACGCGACAATTGGGGCACGTGGCAATCTGATCACGTAGGCTGCAGAATGAGAAACAGATATGGAAGGTGTTACAAACAAATAAATTTCTGGATTTGCTGGGTACAAGAGATGGCTGTGGGTGTGTGTTTAGGGATATTCATACCGTCCATCCGCCAGAAGGTGAGTGAAGCAAGCGGCACACATCAGGTGGCCCATCTGGCACTGAAATTGAACAGATCAGAGTAGAGAAAAATTTGGGTGTTAGCATGATCTCTTGTCAAGACAATTGATGGGTAGCATATGAATATGGTATGGATATATATATTTATATATGTAATTATGTACGAGTAGATTGAAAAACTAAAGCAAAAGTGGAATGAAAATTAACCTGCAATTAAAGAAAAAAGAAGAAAAGTTTGCTATTAGTCAAAATACGGCCTTTATGTGGGGTGAAGTGAGTGTCTGGTGGGGTGGTGGTGGTGGGTTGGATTGAAATGGATCGACATTTTGTGAGATGGTGAGATGGAGTGGAGTGGAGTGGATCGGATAGATAAATGTGATCTGTTTGTTGGGGTGGGCTGGGGGAGGAAAGGAGGAGGGATAGAAAGAGAGTATATATATAGTACAGAGACCCGTTGGTCTTGTGTTTCATTCGTTGGTCTCATTACGATTCCGATTCCGATTGAAATAAAAACGCTATGTTTGTATTTGGTTTTATATTGCATTTTCCAGTTTGCACTTTCCTCTGCAAATTTATTAAAATCATTTTTTTCTTTGTTGGTTTTCCCATCTTTATCTTTATATATCTTTTTTGTTTGTTTTGTTTTTGTTTTTTTGTATACATTTTAGAGTATTACTTTAATACTACGATGGAGTCTGTTCTAAGTACTTAGCATTTACATTTACAATCTTTTACTTTTTTTGTTGCATTATTATTTTTTGTTTACTTTTCTTTTGCTTACAAATGTTAGGAGATCGACTTAACTAGGATTAATCATTAGCAGCGATAGTTAGAGGGTGTTAAAGTCTAGTCGAAATTATAAAAATAAATTCCTGATTAAAGGTCACAATTCTTTATCGTTTTATTTGTGAGTGTATTGCGTCCAATAGGGGCCACATAAATGGAGCTGTATTTGTATCTGTGTAGTTCTGTATCTTTGGTTGATGAGTATTTCTTTTTTGGAATTGAAAATGGTTTTCGTGGAGAAATTGATGGATATTGTTGGGTCAAGTATTTTGGGTGGGTGAGTTTTTAGATAAGGAACGGGACGGCGGTCATTCAAAGTCAATAGAGTTATCGTCGCAGGAACCATGTTGCCAGCCCTCATTTCATTATATCTGTACGGGTCGTAAGTTATTTCGGTCTGTGGATATGCGGGCCTCCTTCATTTTGGAATTTCTATTTCAGGAATCAGCCACCGTCAGAGGAGGCGACATATGCGACCATTCCAGGGACAGAGAGAGAGACTTTCAAGCGATAACCAACATTTCGGTGATTGTTCGTTTTGTTTGTTCATGTATCTTCAATTAAAGAGACACACACACACACACACGTACATAAGTATAAATGAATAGATGTAGATGCATCTGAAAAGGGAATGGCATCCATCCCCAAGGCAATTTCGGATTCAGTGTCAGTGCCTGCAAGTTGAACGAACTCCGGAAAAGTCGGCAGAGAGGGGGAATTTATGACCTAGAGCAACTGCAGCACCAGCAGGCCTTCAATACGATCCGATTCAATTGTTTTTTGATAGGAAAATCTCCACAAAAGAAGAATATCAACCCGTTTTACCCCCGTCAGGGTGTTTACTCTCTCTGGCATAGCTCTCCAGCTCTGGCCTCTCTCTCGGACACAACAAAACCCAGCTGATGATGTTTTTGTAGATAAGTAGCCACGATGTGATGATGAAAGCGGGGTAGGTAGGTAGCTGCAGAGATCTCGCACACTAGCTCGAGCATTATCTTTTACAGGTATATGTTGTACCTCTCTCTCTGTTTCTCTCTGCCTCCCCAAGAGAACATACATGCACATGTGGCAGGCAAACTGGTTAAACGGGTTTGTTCTAGATTACACGTCTATAGAACAATCAGCAAGAGAAAGAACAACAACCTGCAACATAAAAAACTATTCCCCCAAAAAGCGTTGCCTTCCATGCTTTTCAATATTGCGTTGTTTTGTCAAAGTCCGAATCCGGAATCCATTTCTTTTCCCCAGGGGCCGAACAGCTGATTTGGCCCACGCTGTGAGGAAGAGCGAGACAACGAATGTGTCAAAACAACGCAAAGCAAAACAATAACAGAGAGCGTGCACACACGCACACACTTTTGTGTAGTAGTAGTACGCACGCACCCGACATACATACAAACGTCAATCAGAAGAGATATAGAAATGCAAAACAGGAAAAGAACGATGGTTTCTGTCCAACTTTCTATAACTTCAGAGAGCGGGTAGGCAGAAAATAATTAATTAGCCGACTTGTGCGGGTTGTTCTCCCTCCATAATCGAAGCCGAGACGAGACCTTTGGACGGGATATGATTCATTTTCCATTCAGCTTGGTCACGTTTCAACAGTACAGTGGGCGGGGGGGCTGAGAACGCAGATATATTTCCTGCTTACATGGCATTCTTTCGAAAAGGTGTGCCTAAGAACATTGCTAAACTATTTTCCACCAAAGAATTTATTCATTAAAATCATTTATTGATGTTTGTACCGTAACGACGTTTCAATGACGCAGTTATCGTATTTCACAGCACATGTATGCATGTGTATGTATGTATGTGCATGCATGCATGTGTGTCTGGTTTCGACAAGAACGAAAGAGAGCAAAGTCAACCACGCATTACGTAAAAAGATCTAAATTCTCAATATTTTAGCAAATAATTTAATCAATCAGAAGAGAAAAGCGCATTCGCATGAATGAAAAAGAATGGCCTTAGAAGCGAAATGAGTAAAGAGGAAGCCGAAAGAGACACACACAAACTTGTTCAAATTAAAAGCATTGTAAGCACTTTGTGCTGTGCTGCTGGTGACGGGCGGGGCGGGGCAGCTGCTGCTAAAAATAGGCCAAATCGGAGCAAGACCACATCATAGATTCTACGGGAAAGCCAACAGCGATTCCTATTCTGATTTTGGCTTTTGTGACGCAATACAGAAAAGTTTTGCAGTAAATGTTACTGCGCAAATGTCAGCGGGGTGGGGTCAGGGTAGGACAGGGGGGAGCAGAAAACACAGTGGCGGCTCAGAGTGTCAAATGCAACGCGGAATTGGAAATGAGTGCCAGGCGGGGGTAGGTTCGGTTCTGTCGTCGCTCGTCTCTAAAACGCAATAAAGTGCATTAGACACAGAGTGCGAGCGAGAGCAATATGTGTATGTATGCTATGTAAGCGAATAGTGGGGGGCTCTCCCTCTTTAATTCTGATATGCGCAGCAGTAAGAAATAACCAAAAACGTGTGTATGGGGGCAAACAGTTGCAGCGGATGCCTGGCATTGTGTTTTGTTGTTTTCAAGGCGAGTGCAAGGCAGCAGCGACGTAACAGTCGTAGCAGCAAGCTAGAACGAGAGCAAATAAATACACGCAGCAGATAGTGTGCTATCGGTCTCGCTCTGGCACAGCTGTGAGAGTAGTGCATTCTGGGGGGCGACGGAGGAGTGGGGTGGTTTCCTCTTACAGCTGGCGATTTGTTTGTATACAGAATGGTACTCGCACGCACACACACACACAAAACTGTTACTCTCAAAAACACACGCATACAGATAGAAAAAATCTGGCCTTTGTTGTAGTTTTTCTGTAGCTAAAATATTGGGGAAAAAAGAAAAGAATTCGGGCCTCCACGCTGCACTCACCTGGTACATGGCCGTTTTTGGCAAATCCAAGCAAACGGCACAGCAGAGGGCTGTGGAGATGCGGTATGCCAGCTTCTCGTGCGTTCCCGATGCAGCAGCAGCGCTGGATAGAGCTCCCCCCGAGCTAGAAGAGGCTGCATTTGCATCAAGACATGATTTCTTGGAAGGCGGCTCGCCGCTGATCTGGGTGTCGAGTGGCACTCCCACTACGTTGTTGCCACCGCCCCCACCATTGCCACTGCTGCTACTAGTGCTGCTGTTCGAGGTGGAGCTGGCCGAGGTGGACGCCTGCATCACCTGGTTGTCCCCCAGCATTGGCAGAGTGGATGTGGGGGGCTGCTGGGCCGCGGAACTTGAAGATTCCACATTCGACATGTCTCTTCTTTTTTGGATACTTTCGTTTTAAATTTTATTTTGTTTAGTTACGTTCTAAATCTCACACACCCAGCCACTGATGTTTTCAAATTGACGTTCTCTCGTTCGCCTCCCTCTCTTTGTAACGCACACACAAAACACTCACACACTTGGCGCAGTGTTACACTGCACTTCACAATCAATTCTCTGTGTTACACTGCACTTCAAAATTCTCTATTGCCTATAGCACACAACAACACTCTTAACGCAGTGTGACCGGATTTATTAATGAAATTTTTGACGAATAAAGACGCTCAATGGTGAGTTGAACTTTTGATTGCGAGGTGAGGTGTGAAGTATGACGTCACAAAATCCAGAGATTTCAAGGAAAAAACCCACCTCACCACATAACTCACCATGTGGGATTTTGTGCTTTCGCGCTAACATGGTATATTTATTCCGTCGGGGCTAGGGTGAGGTCCTTACGAGGCCCTTAACAAAAGTTTGGCCGTCTTAATACTGGGGCCATACCTTGCCATGACCCAGTCGAAAGAGATCACTCAAAACGCTCTCCGGACTCATTTCTGCGTTCAAATTGTGAGCCACTATCTATAGGATCGATATTTTGATACGTTTTTGTGGCGTTGCCAGACTCGTGCAATTCGTAGTTGCTGCGGGCTGCCATACCATGATATTTTGTGATATGAAATTCGTCAATTTTGATATTCAGTCTAATATTACTAGATAGTTGGCCCTCTCAGCCCTAAACAAATCATTTTATCCGATAGATACATAAATTTTCTACAAGATTGGCAAGTTTTCAGTTTGCATTGTTTCCATAAAAAGGTTCAAACAAAAACGGCCAAAGCAAAAAACGTAAATGTTGACTAAATGTGACGTCAGTGTTGCTGGTCAACCAAGTTTCTTCTATGCGTATGTACTTTTGAACACCTTATTTCTTTTAATTGATGTTAAATGTTTTGTTCCAAGCTCCATTGAAACATTTCTGATTTTATCCTAGATTGACATGTTTTTTAACTATTAATGCACATGTTTGTGTTATATATTTACATTTATCCCGGTTCTGATACCTATAATTGGAACCCGGGAGCTGAAAAATTTCGTTATCTTTAAAACAGAGACTGAGTAGTTTCTGCATTACTTGGAGCCTGAAATTACAAACAATATCTCAAGTCCATAATATTCATTTTCCCAAGGCATTCAAATTTGTTGCTCATTTCATGCCAAAGTTTCACAACAATGCTGCCTATTCATTTCCAGATGTTGCTGAAATTTGTCCCATACAAATTAAATGTATCGCGTATGGAATGACGCAACAATGAATCTTCATTCCATACGCAAAACGTGGCTCACACCACGAAAAAAAAGGGGAAAGTCACCACGAAAGCGCTCTCTTCACCTCGGAAAAGAGAGAACATTTTGAAAAACTACCACGAATTTAGAGCGAAAAATGTCAGTATTTTTTGTGCGCTAAATGAGTTTGGCGGTCATTTTCAAAAGTATATTAATATATGGAAAAATAAATATTTCACTTGATTTGTTTTGTCGTGTGTGACTGGAACCTCAGAAACGTAATTTTCAAAATATGCCGTAAATATACTGACTGACACGACAAAATGCGTTGATATGCCTCGATTTTGGTATTCGGTTAAATAAGACCAGCTTGTTAGCCCTCTCAACACAGAACATAGAATTTGATCCGATTGGTTTATTTTAAAGACTCATTTTATTGGATTTTTTATAAAATAATACTTAAACAATATGATCAACAAAAATATCCGAGTATTTACATTGTAACTACACGGTAACTACAAATTTGCTACATATCAAAAATGGAAAAAGCGTACAGCGTGACCGTGTACTATATTTTTTCGGGATTTTGGCAAGGTTTTGGCGTTTGGCGTTTTTAAACAAAACCAAAAACTTCTTACAATTTATATTCCCAAAAAACTTTTTTAATGGTGAACTTACGCAGAAATTAGTTAAAAGCACACAAGTGATTTAAATAGCCGGGTATTAATATTTAGTGGAACCGAACCTGGTTTTCGTAGTTTTCCCCCATGGAGCAGCCAAACAAACTGCGAGCAGACATGTTGGCATCGGTGCGGTGTATGTGTGTGTGTGTTTGTGTGGTTTGCGTCTGGCTGTGGGAACGAGAAAAACAACAAAAATTTGGAAGAAGTTCTGCGCCCGAATCTGGCTATTTCCACGGCCTGATAGCCGAAAGCCGAAACCCAATGGCGTCTTATGGAACTGCGGCAGAAGTGCGCTGGTGCTGCTGCTGGTGTCTATTTCACGCCTCGTTACTCTAATTAATTGAATCGTTAATCAATGCACCACGAACGGATCGAGAGCCAGTCGGCTGGTGGAGGTCCTACTTCCACCGCCCCCCCAGTGGCGGCTGTGTATCTGTGGCACTTGTTGGGTGGCCCGACCGACCCCCCGTACACGGAAAAGAGGCACTGCAAAATTAATGCCAGCTGGTTCCCACTCTGAGGAAAAACACACATCGCACACACACAAGCATAGAAAGCGCTGTCGGTATCAAAAGTTTTGCAGCCCAGCTGTTTTCTGTTCCACAAATATGGCTGGACTGGATCCCATTCTGGGTCCGACATTTCTCTTTGTGGATGTCGTTTGGCTTGTTATTGTTGCTCTGTGTGTGTGCCAGCTGTTGGGTCCTGTTGAACTCTCTTGAGAGTGTGTGTGTGTGTGTGTGTGTGTGAGTGTGTATAACAACGGCAATTGCTATGGCTTCTCTTTTGTGTATCCATATATCCTGCAAAATATCCTTTCCAGTGGTACAGTGGGAGCAAACACAACACACATTCCCACCACCACCTCGCAATGTCACGATTCGTTCCACTGTTGCACACAGCTGTAATTGTTGTTGTTTGTATCATCCTTCGGGCTCTGCTCGCACGTACACAGACAGGGTCTGTGTGTGGACTCTATTCGGTACGCTTCTGGCTACCATTAGGCTTCGTTGTCTGCCTTTTCAGTACCTTCGTGGGGCGCCAGTCGCGCCGTTCGCTTTTCCCGTTCGGTTTATCTCCCCTCGCTGCTCCGTTCGATAATTGCCTGTAAGCCCCAATAGGAGGTGGAGAAATTCCCTAATCCCAAGAGGAAACACTCCAATGCACTCCACTCACAGGAACACACACACTCACACAGACGAACTCAATTTGTTGCTAATCTAATGCGACTTCTCCTCACCCTTCTCTTTACAGCCTTGAAATATGTTGGCGCAGGTTCAGCCTCAAGTATGTTCAATTGCGGAAGTGGGGGGGGAGTTGCAAATGTAAAATATATGTATGGATTCGTGTGTGGGAGTGCGTACGTGAGTGCGTGTTCGCGTGTGAAAATATAAATGATAAAGTGAAAGAAGAAAAACAACAAATATGCGCGCAATTTTGTCTGTATATGTGTGAAAACGCGTCCCTGTTTATTTGGAGTCACGCAAACATACAGCACAGCAGACAGTACATACACACACACACGAGCACAAATTAAATGAAATCCAAGCAGAGCAAAGTCAGACAGAGGTTGCCCCCCACTTGGCTGTTGGCTGTTGCTTTTTTTTGGATTTCGTTTTGTCGCCCTTTTTGCAAAAACAAACAGTCCGCAGAGCAAACACAAACAGCAGCGGACTGTGTTTGGTTTACTGTAATAATACATAATACATAGTACTAAAAAGATTTTTGTTTCCTCCCTTTTCATCCACCTTTTGCCTTTCCATTCCAGTCGACGCGTCTCAATGTTTAATAACTAACGCCGTTAAAATGCATTTCAATAAAACAAACGAATGAAACATTGAAAACAATGACAAATATAAAAAAAACGTATAATCTAATATTCAAACGTACAATGTGAAATTGTGTAATGTGAAATTCTAGAAGTTAAGCGCGAATTGTATGTATTATTTAAAATTTTTGTTTCATTTTGTACAAAATAAGTTAAAAGCATAAAAAAAGAAGAAAAACAAAAAAACCGTAAAAGCAAAAAAAAAAAAAACAAAAAACGTTCAATTAGTGCATAAAAAAAAAATAATATAAAAAACAAAATCAAAGCGAGCGGTGGAATAAAAGGAGAGGAGGAAGCAGAAAAAGGACCAAAACAGCGTGAGAAAATAAGAGAAAGAAGCAGCAGAAGGACCAATAACAACCGATGGGAAGAAGCAGCAGCAGCAGCAGAAGGACCAAATAAAAAAAACAAAAACGAAGAATTGCTTCTGTGGACGCAGGTGTGACGGCTCAGAGGAGAACGCAACCAAAGCGTGAGAGAGAAACATGTCAACGTTCTTAAACAATTTCTTCCCGGCAGGTAAGAAAAAGCAAAATTAAACATAAAAATCAAAGAATGCTGGAAAGAAAAAAAAAAAAGGAAGGGAAGGGAAGAAACGGGACGGAGGAAATGGCTTCGGTCGGCCCTTCAATTGAAAGTCACCTTTGGCATATCTTATGAAGACTGTATGACACTCGCACCAGAGAAGTGAGCGAAGAGAGAATGCAGATGGCACACAGGATGGCAGTGTCTTGTTTTGTCTGTGAGACACTGCTTCATCGACCTATAAACTGCTTTCTGTGTAGCCAAGCGAGCGTCATACACTCATAGCCAGCACTCTACTCTTGCCTGTGGTCTGGGTTATCCTGTAATTTGATTCTCCCTCTCTTTCACTCATTTAAATTGAATTTTGTTGTGTGATTATTGGCAATTACATGGCTCACTCGCTGGACGTGACCGTGAGAGCACGGAGAGCGGCGATGGTGTAGCTCCGAGTAATCAATCTGCTCCGCAAGATCCAGAGAACGGCCGAACGTCGTTTCCCATTAATTACAAGCATAGATTATTGTTTTCCCTTCTTCTTGCCAGATTGCCAGATTCAACCCTAGCTAGGAATCTGGATCCACAATCTAGGGATCGGAAACAAGTTCCACACTGCAAGAGTGAGCCTTCTTCTGTGGAATTTTCTTTGTCCTGCTTGAAAACCACTTCCTATACCAAACAAAAAAAAAATTCATATAAAAGATGGCAGTGGGGGGATGTGCACTCCTCAAACCAGTTTGCAGAGCCGAAAATCCAGCCCTCCGGATCACTCGACTCACTCGGTGGCATCAAAACAAGAAGAGGCATAACAACCAACAATTCCTCTCGGTCTGAGGGCAACGGCAGCTGACGGAAATACATTGACTTCAACGTCGGGTCGGCGGGTGCTTCTGGTGCAGAGCAGAGCAGAGCGTTGTGTCTGAAGGTGGTGCACTGGGTTACGTTACCTGTTGACGGCCCTTCTTTGGCGCTGCTTCTGGTGGTGGTGGTGGTGCTGCTGCTGCCACTGATACTGTCCGTTCTGGTAGAGTGCAGCTGGGAGAACTGGTTTCGCACTCGCTCCTTTCTGCTGCTGCTTCTGCTTCTGCCTTGTTTTGAACTGTTTTTACGGGCTCATGAGCCCCCCAGAGCCGAATCTGTAGTGCATCTATCATTGTCTTCTATGGAGGTTCATAAAAAAAGGTTGCTAAATCTGAAACGTTTGTCTATTGCAAAATAAAATTAAAAAGGTTCCACTATATCAATCTTTCTCACATTTACACACCATCTCTCTCTCTCTCTCTCTCTCCCTCTATCTTTTCTCCTCTCTGAGGCTGCTATATTCCTTCAAGATTATTTTCCTTGGTTCTATTACTATTAACTGTTTTTAAAACGAAAGGAAAGACTAAGTAGAGCACAACTTCCTTGCTTTGGGGCCCAGTGCCAGATGAAAGTGGTGCAAAAACTATAATATTTTTCTTAACTTCTTTGGGCGAACACTCGCTACCGAAACATCTTAGATGGGTGTACCATATATGTACTTGCATCTTGAAACGCCATAACCCTGGGTGTCCTCACAACAGTGCTTTCCACTGAACTGAATCCATTTTGGCCTTTGTTTATGGCACATAAAACAGAGAGCTGCAAAAAGAAAGCGAACGCTGTGCAAATATTTTTCGGCCCCATTTTATTGACGCCCACACTAAAAGCTCCCCCTAAAGGTCCACCCGCCTTGTTGTTCTCCTATCCCATCATTTCGCTTATACTCGAAAACACACAGAGACAAGAAGAGACTTTATTTTATTTCTATCAAATTTTTATTGCCCAACGATTCGTGAAAGGATTTCGTTATTCCATCCTCCACTCTCCATTATCCGCCAAGTGCACGGAACATGATCCATGGAAACTGTAGCGAACTGTATGTGGGCGGCAAGGCAGGGGAGGGGGTTGATAGGGGGAGTCGGTGTGAGCGAAAACAATAACTATCGATTGATTATAGTCGATTGGTTTGTCTGTCTGTCGTTCGCCCTTTGTTTATGAATATTCGAGGAAATTGCTGGAAAATAACTCTCATCAATGGGCCATAACAATTTCCCCTAGGCTGCCTTTGTTTTGTCGCCAAATATAGATGGATAATTGCAGAGAGGGCTGGGCTTCGGTTAGCAGGAGGGTGTCATGTGGGAGCCTGGCAGAAGCAGATAATATTCCAGCACAGAAAATTTTCGAAAGAGAATCATGCAAGCCAAAGGGAAGCTTGAAATTAGCTTTAACTAGTCAACTCTAGTTAGTTCAATGCCAGCTCTAGTTATTCAGCTAGCTTGCTGTCCCAGGATGCCCCCTTCTGTTCACCATCTTGCCTTCGTCGATAAATCGGCTCCGCTCCGCCCCCATCTCGCTCCCTCTCTGATCCTGTGAATGTTTTTAAACCAATTTTTCGTTTCATATCAGGTGGGGAGCGGGTGCTGGCATTCTCGGTGTCCTCTGTGCTCTTCCTCTTTGTGTCACTCATTCCGTTTCGTTTCATTTTGCGCTTCCCCATAATTTAATTATCGCGCGAGGCGCCGCACCATTGCAGGCAGGCGCAGACAAGCTGACGTCGCTAATGTGCGACGTTTGTCACTTTTGTTTTGGCTCGGCCTTCTACCCTTTACGTTGCCCCCCCCCTCTTTGACTGTTTCTCGCGGAATTCCAACACACGACGCAACAAAGTATGCAACACATTCTTTTGTGGCACGAGCCTTACATATTTTGGCCGCTGTCTTGCCCATTGCCTTCGCCGTGTTGCCTTCTTGCTCTATGGCTCTTCTTCCTCTTTGCCTTGGCAAGCGGCTAATAATGACGCCCGTGCGAGCCCCTCTCCTGCCTTCGTCTGCCTCTTCCTCTTTGTCTAGATATGTACATATGTACATATGTATGTATGTATGTATGTATGTGTCTGCTTCTGTCTTTTTGGCCATTTAATTTCGCATTCGCTTTCGCCTGCCAAAATCTCATTGCGCCCTTGGGTAGAAATGCTTTGCACACACGCATTACTCATTTCTGCTCCGCAAACATCCCGCATACGATTTTCCTCTCCTAAATATGCCTCTGGGTCTGTGCCACAAGTCTAGTGGCCATAAAGCAATTTGGCCAAGTGCGTGGCCCGGACACGTGCCAGCCTACAGGAGAGGGAACGGAATGGCTGGCTCCCGCCATTAGCCCATTCCACGCTGGAGCCACTCAACGGGTTTCCCGCAGGAAAAGCTGAGAGTGGTCATTTCCCAGGAGATTCGGCAATAGTCCATAGTTCTTTGGAGGAAGAGTTCTTTCCGTGAAGTGCGTATTACTTCAAAACTCATGATCTAAACTATTTGATTTGTTAGTTCAATTTTTGAAGGTCATTAGATAATGAATATAATAATCCCTAGAATGTCTTTGGACTGCTGAATACGGATTAAAGATAGTTTAAGTGGATCAAGTAATTTAATTAATTATTAGATACATATAATTTAATCGTTGAGTTGTTCCTTGGCCCGGGGACCTTAACGTAGCTCTTACTGGTATGTTGGAAAATAAGTTTAAACAATCAAATAATTTTTATATTTGTTTTAAGAACTGGCATTAGTATCTTCTTCAATAGGAAAGATAGGTTTTTAGTTTACCCAGAATAGAGCCCAGGGTAGCCGTATTTTCTTTTTGTGTTGACTGTGTTTATCTGATTGGGTAGAGATAGCGGTTATAGCGACATAAACAATACTGTCTGAAGCGCTGTATATTTATAGAATTATGTATATGTCTTTCGAGGCCGAAATCTTATCTACAAATATTGGTTATTTTCGTTACCTTTCTGATATTTGATATTAGTAGTATTAGTATTTTTTTGTTGTATCGCAATGCGATGCACCTTAAAAAATCTACAGTTTGAGAGGCCACACGTTTGACCGCCCAGTGACCCCACAACTGTATTTATCGCTTTTGCTATGTTTTGCTTTCCCTTCGCTTTGGTTTTTTGTTTTGTTTTTGTTTTGCTTTTGTGTGTTGGTTTTGTATTATTGCTCGTTGTTTGCTTTTGCACTTTGCTTCGTGTGTTTTTTTGTGGATGTTTTTCTGTTTTTGTGCTTATTGGTGTTGAGGTGTTTGCTTTTATTTTTGTCGTCTCCGCTTTGACTGCTTCGTTCGCTGCTGTTGCTTGAGCTGCCACTGCCACCACACTACCGCTGTCGCTGTTAGTCACTCTTTGGCGGAGGCCACGAAAGTTACCCCACCCGGTCGTAAGGTAATCGCTAAAGTTGCGAGTCTCTGAAAGTGTCCGTCATATGGTGGTGGGGGAGTGCGTGCAACGGTAAATGTGCTGGGAAAGTGGAACAAGAATGAGCAGAGTAGCGATGAAATGTTGTGAGTCGGAGTGCAATACGTGACATGTGTTAAGCCCCCCTCCCTAACCCGCAACCCAACAAGGTAGCTGAAACTGAGCTTTGCTCTCGCAGACAGCAAGAGAGGCAGCAGAAAATGTGTAAAGGGGCAAAGACAAAGAAGAACAAATGACACAAAGATGGGGAGAACTTGCCCAATGTCGGCCCTTGTGCTTTTCATTCTCCTTTTATCTATCTCTCTCTGTGTATCTCATTCTGCATATCATTTTGCGGCTCGTTTCACATTTACAACTTCCGCTACTGGGTGTCACTCCCCCGCCCCCGACTACCTTTGGCCCAGCTCTGGCCGCATTTCAAAAAATGTAAAACTGTAAAGCTGTCGAAATCGAAATCTCTCGCATACGAATGGCCGAATAAATAATGGAAAAAAACGCGTATAGGCTTAATTTCTGTTGTTCATATTTACCACACAATTTACATTTTTTTAACGTTTTCGCTTTCGCAATTGTTGAGCCTAGGCGCTCGAAGTGTTACACACCAGCCCCCCCGGCGCCCGCCCGCTCACTTAAACACTTGCACAGCTGTTCGGGCAGCAACTATGATTTCCAGCAGCTGTTGCTGAGCGTCGCGGGCGAATTGGGTCACACTGTTGCTGTCTCTGCTGCCGCTGATGTGTTGCCGTTACCATTGCCACCGCTGGCAGTGGCAGAGTCAGAGACCAGACAAACTTGTCTTGGCCAATGCTCAAATCTCGACTCGCATGGCCCTGCTGTCTGTCCCACAGCAACGGAGGTTTCGATCAGAATTACAAAAAAAAAAGAAGAAGAAAAAAGATTGACGAGCAATAAACGAGTTGCAGGGTAGTGTAGTGTAGTGTAGTGTAGGAGGAGTGTGGGTCAGTTTTCGAGATACGACTAGGAACAGAAGCCGAATGATCATTATCTCGATTCTAAGCTGGTAGCGAATAGAGGTGACATTACATGTATTCCAAAACAGCTCCAACGAATTTGTAGTATTGTTTACCTTGATTTTCCGTCATAGTATTGTTCCAATCTCCCGCCAAAGCAGCTCCTATCATATCATATGCTCGTAGGTACATACATATATCAAAAGTTTCCCTCCCTGATCGGTTTCAAGCAATCAGGAGTTGATCCATTCAGGGTAGCGTTTTGACACACATCCATTTGTGTTTGTAGATATATATGTATGTATATAAAATATATGTATAAAGATAGGCCTGGAGTACTTTTATTTGAGTGCTGGGGTGCTGATAATGAAGCAAAAGCCTTGTCTATAAATATTTCATTTATAATGTACTTACAGATTGGTTTGTGTCTGTGTGTGTGTTTGTATTCTGTTTGTTCGCTTATGTGTGTGAGTGCGTGTGTAAATTATTATTACAGTAAGAGCCACGTGTGTTCGTGCTGTCTCGCTCGCTCTCGCACTCGCCCTCTCTCTCAATCCCATTTACATTCGAAGTTATCAGATGATCATACACACACACACACACCCCACACTTCACTCCCCACTTCCCACTTCCATCCCATTGCATATTTAAAATCCGCAAAATACTCGATTTGGTTGAGTTTCTCGAAGAGAGTGGAAGAGCGAGTGAGCGGGAGGTGGTGCACGGCGGTTCGGCAATGGGCAAACACATGATCGTGAACACGATCAGAATGCAGTCGTCCCCTCCAAAGGGGTCATTGGAATCGAGACGAGTGCTTGTGAAACTGTACGCGCTTCGCTTTATTGCCGCCCCAAGAATAAACAAACAAAACAGAAGAGACTGGCATACCCAGTACTCTCTGGTCGCGTAGTTGTCGGGTATATTCAGCTCTGTGTAGTTGTGTGCAACAGAGAGCAGCACAGCTTATTCGACATAAGAGATCTGTAAAGCCTTAATATCACGACGCCCAATATACAACAGAAATCTTAGACTATAGCTCCACTTTCGTCTCCTCTCACCTCTTAATGTGTTACATTGCATGACTTTCGAGTTGTTGTTGCTGCTGCTGAGCGTGTGCATTCAGAGTTTGAACTTTCCAAGTGGCTGCAGCAACAGCAACAAGAACGATGGCCACATATTTACAGTTAATAGAAACGAGTGCACGCCCACTTTGCCTGCTTCTCGTCTATCCATCGTCACACAGTTTGACACACACTGTGGGGCTCGCTCACTCTCTTTCTCTCTCCCAAATCTGTGGCGCTCACACTCTCTCTCTCTCTCTCTCTCTCTCTCTCTCTCTCTCTCTCTGCTGTTTGCTGTGTGCTTTCCCACTGCGCCTCCACAGTTGAAAGTGGGCTGTGGTGCCGGTCGGTTCGCGAGCGATCGTTTTTATTTGAAATTTTTGCATATTCAATACGTACATTTACCGCCTCTTGTGGCCCGCGACTTGGGCCAAGTGACACATAACGGTAAACGACGTGGTTGCCCGTGCTGCCACATCAACGCATATTACGTGACGTAACAGCAGGCTTTTTGTTATTGTTTGGCGCCCCCCCGCATCTCTCCGCCCTTCTGCAACATGTGTGAGTGGTTTACCTGACTCTCTGTTTGCGCCAGAATTGCTACGTAAGAGAGAAGAGAGTTAGTGAGGTGAGAGTGTGTGTATGGTCGCAACGTAAGTGTGCAGGGCATTTGCTGTGAGCGTTTGTGCGTGTGCGTGCGCGTGTGTGCGTGTGTGTTTGTGGCGTTTTCATGAACGCGTTCGTGATCTTTGAAGCAAAACAAAAGCTGTCTCCGTTTTTGCCGTGAAACGTAGCAGAAGCAAAAATAATAATCAGTTGTCTATATATACATATATACATATATCAACACACACAGAAATACAAACACAAAAATATGTATTTATATACATAAATACTTTACATATGCATGTATAGCGATATATAATTTTTTGCCGACGTCATGCCAACAAACAGCCAGTGGCTAGCAATTAATGTAAATGTAAAGTGAAAAAAAAAACAAAAACCAGCAAAAGCAACAGCCACAGCCACAACAACAACAACAACAACAGAAATACAGTTGGAAAGTGATTGCCCACTGCTAGGCAACAGTTTTTCGGTTCGGGTTAATCGTTCTAACCGATTTCGAATGCACTGACTGAACATGCTCAAGTAAGTGCCAAACTGTAGACAACACCTGATTGTAACTCTCAAACTGCCAGAACGGGTCTGGATGCCTCCTTCCCCGCCAAATAATGCCAACACGAAAACTGAGCATTCAATTAGAACATTTTTTTTTCAAATTAAAAATCGAATAAATAAACTCTGGCAAGAAATTATTGCACTTACGACCAGAAATATTTAATATAATTTTTTTTCACGACATTATCTCGCAATTCGCACTCTGGATACCCTGTAAAACTGGCTTTGGTGACAGTTTTTTTTGTAAAATAATTAACTTAATTCTTTTTTGTGTATAATATTCTTTTTTTTTTCGATAATTTCGCCGTTAAAAGGTTTAAAATTTGCCCACCACCTGCCAAAATAGATTGGTATGGGCTCTTGGCCAAGTGAATATAGCCAGCTCGTAATAATCTTCAAAAGCTTGGGTATTTTTGTACAGAATTCAAGGCTAATATCACTTGTTATTTCAGCCATGGGCATTGGCCCCGTACCCCCTGACATCCGACTTCGACATTGGATGTCGTCTCTCGTTCTACCTGGCACCGTTCAAACAAAAAAAAAAAACGTACGAAATGTTTTGCTTTTGAAATTACTTTTCACTTTCTGTTTTACAGTACACTCGAATTTTTCAATGCATTTCAAATGAGTTGTCGACGTGCCGTATGACACTATAATTATACCTGCTGATTGATGTTTCAATTCATAAAAATATCTTCATTTTGATATGTTTTATAATTCTTGAGCACGTTTTGCACATTTTAGACGCGGATTATATTCGGCAAGGCACATATTTAACACTATGGACTTACATAGTCCCGCAGATTAATCGATCTGTATTATTATTATTATTAAAAAAATTGTTATTTTATCTTTACTACTGCCTAGAGCGCCCCTAAAATGTAACCATCAGAAATGCTTTCAGTGAACCCCTAAGGTGCTCTATGTACCCTTAGTTCCGAAGTCATTTTTCGCTAGAATATTCATTGGGTTTTCATCAGCGAAAGGTTCTATGCCGTAAAAATGCTGAGTTCTATCTGAAATCCACGAAATGTGTGAAATTCGAATTCCAAAGTTTGAAGAGCAGTGGAGGTGGTGGTGGTGCGGCTGACTTCTGCCTGCCTCTGACAGAAATTGCGTCTTGGCTTTAGTTTATTTTGACGCAAACAGCAGCAGCAGCAGCAGCAGAAGAAGAAGCAGTGCTGTTGATGTTTCTGTGCCTCTTCGTCAGCGACAATAAATTGCGCATACTCCGAAAATGGTGAATGTTGTGGAAAATAACAGGAAATAGAAGAACGAGTGGGATGTGGGCTGTGGGGTGGGTGGGTCTCAAAGGGGTCCCAGAGCAGAGAGATATGGGTAGCAAATGGAATTCTGTTGATGTTTGTTTAATTGATTTCTAATCAATTATCATATGTGTTGTGGGTCCTCTCTATCTATATCTATCTATTGGTCTCTTATTCATGCTTTCTCTCTCTCTCTCTCTCTCTCGCTCTCTCTATTCACAGATACGGCTGCTATGGATCCAATTTTCTACTCGCCCACGAATGGTATTCCGTCAGAGAGTAAACTCGCCACTTATATGGTAAGTTAAGGGCCCCGTTTCAGAAGGAAATTCCCGCTTTGAGAACAGCTCCCCAGCTGTGTAATTGGTCTTTATTCTAATTCGATTTTCATTCGAGTGTGCTCTTGACCGACTTTTGGGATTGTATTTGTCTATATATTTTTTTTGTGATTTTTTTGTTGGGACCACTGACACATAAACTGCCATATAAGTCGTCTATATGCACGTTAAATATCAATTTGTGTTAATGCATGGCTTTTTATTATATGTAAATATCGACCGGGGAAAAACATTAATGCTCTGGAAAATTATTAACGATAAAAAATATACCATGTGGAACATTCAACGAACCGCCACATAGTTTTTGTGCGTATACACGACTTTTATGTACTTACTTTGGGGTGGGGGCTGTGAAATGTACATAACGATAAATAGTTATTCCAGATATCAGCGCGAATGAGTAAAAGAAATCACACGGATATGTTGGCTGCTAAGCGAATTTTCCGATCGTGGCATATCGTACAAAGAAAACAGCCTATTAAAGTTCGATTTAATAACAAATACCGCTCTATAAAATATATATACACTAATCGCATGGAACTGCTCTGAGAACAGTCCAACATCAAGAGGAAACAAACCCTTATCTTATCACTGCGCCCACACACTGTGTGTATTTGGTTTTTGCATACTCGGCCCCGATCTTCAGTCCGAAGAATAAATCGCGGAGCAATGGATGCAGTGGGTAGCCCACCGTCAGCCCAGCCAGTTCCTAGTCCGTTCCCAATGGCAGTTGATATTATTACCATGGCGACGTTAACAGGGAGGCTGTAGAACGAGTACCAAACACATACATATACGAGTAGAAGACAGATATTTGGGAACAGAACGCTCCTACCAGTCTTCCTTTGCACACTTTCCACCTTTCCGCCGTGCCACCTTAATGCCTCTCTGATCTGAATCTTCCTCTCTCTTTATCTTTATGTCTGTCTCTCCCTTCATGTGTGCCACCGTGCATTGATCTGTGCCCTGCACTGCACTGCTTTCCTCGATATGTGTATGTATGTCAGAATCGACAGAATGTTGCCACACCGAGCGGCGGTGGCTTTGGGCTGAATAGCGGATTCTCGCTACTCAATCTGGATGCGCCCCTGGCAGCAGCAGTGAACAAAAAGTCCCAGGTAAAGCAGAGATATGTGTCTCAACCGCTGCTCCCTCTGTATCCTACATATACGAGGAGGAGTCGGATAAGTGAGAGTCGTAAACGTAAATACGTGTGTTGCCGTAACGGGTTGGTATTCCAGCATCGATTAGAACAAGTAGAACAAGTCGCCTGTAGAACAAGCCCCAGCCCAGCCCCAAGTCCTGTGTCCGTACAGTAGAGAACCCCATATAGTGCTTTTCCCGCACCCATCCCCCCCGCTGCGTGTGGCTGCGTGTAGAATGGTACTTAGATGAGTGTCAGAGTCCGTTCAGGAGCATTATTGATGTATTAATCGTGTGCCTCGATCCTTTCCATCCCTACAGGTCACGCCGCAATCGCCAGAATTCATTCCAACGCGCATCAATTCGTCCCCCAATTTCTACGCACCATATCCGAACACGCCCATGCAACTGAGTAACGGGCTCAATGGCGTCAATGGGTTAACTGCCGCCGCCGCCGCAGCAGCAGCAGCAGCAGCAGCAGGTGCAGCCGTAGCACCCGCATCCACAGCGGCAGCAGCGGCCGCCGTATCCGTGACCATCACCAAGACGGCGAACGGAAGCAGCTCGATGCTCTCCCTGCAGAAGTCCGCCTCCTCCATTGTCAGCATTGCACAACAGCAACAGCACCAGCAGCAGCAGCAGCAGCAGCAGCAACAACAACAACAGAAACAGCAACAGCAGTCTCCGCTGGTGCATGCCAACTCGGGGTCTGCCCCATCGGCACCCATAGCAATAAGCGGCGCACCACCGAATCCTGGCGCCGCCCCCTTTGTGAGCAACATGTCCGCGCAAACACCACTCAAGGGTCGGGGGCCAATGCTCCGGCAGGAGTCGCCCACGGCAGCAATGCTATCGGGCGGACCGGGCGAGAAGTCACCACCTCACGGCATGACACCGCACGGCGCCTCGCCCATACCCACGACGCTGCCCACGAGCGTACATCAGGTGAGACCATTGACTGATCCATTGATCCCATGATGGCACATAGTAACCCGTGTCTTGTTCCTGCAGGAGAATGTCGGCGGCACCATCTACTTTTATCCGACTGCCAATGCGCAGAACAACCAGCCAGTTGTTAATTCCGTGGTGGTGGATGCCACGCATCCGGCTCATCCGGCACATCATGGGGTCAGCTCTGGGCCCGCGATGAGCAGTGTGGGTGGCGTGTCCTCGACGCTCCTGTACACGGGTCATGTCTATCCGGGTCCGGCCTCGAATGTGATCACCATGCAGCCGAAGACGCAGCTGGAGTCCGCCTTCTTCATACCCGACGAAATGCGGTCCGACATTCTTGCCCGCAACGAGATCTCCAACCTGATCATGGACGCCGTGGAGGCTGCTCAGCATGCCCTACCACACGAAGTGGACAACTACCATGCCCTCTATCCGCTGGAGCCGCCGGCCCAGCCGCTGCACGCCAAGCTCACGCTACCCGCCAGCACGTACCGGGCCACGCACAACACGACCGGCTATAAGTACTGCCTGCGCAGGCTGCACGGTAGGTCTAGCTTCTCTCTGTTCCACGCTGCCATGAGCTAATCGTATGCCTCCACTTTAGGGTTCCGCTTGCAGTCAACCAAATGCATGACGCTGGTGGAGATGTGGAAGAAACTGCAGCACACGAATGTGGTGCAACTGCGCGAGGTGTTCACGACGAAAGCATTTGGTGATAACTGTGAGTGAGGGGTTCAGGCGACACATAAAAAGGGTTTGTTAAGGTGCTTCTCGGATCTCATTGTGAATTCTTTAGCCTTGTGGCACGTGTTGGAGAGCGAGAGCCCAAAAACTACTGGGGGATACAAGCAGCAGCTGAATGAGATTTCAAATGAAATGTTCTGGAAAAGTTAAACCATAAAACTAGGACTTAAGCGCCTTAATATCAAGCCAAATTCTATCGACAATCGTTCTTAGCGGGATTTTATATATTTTATATATTATATATTATATATATATAGAGAGAGAGAGAGAGGGATCAGATAGAGCAACGTAGAAGGGTTATGTACATCTTCCTTGGCGGGTCGACTGTACCCCTCTGTTCCAGTAAGACTTAATTTATGTTCGCTTACTGTTCGTCTTGTTTGCCATACGTTTATGGGCTGGGTCATAGTGGAACCAGGGTATTATAGCCCAGCCCCATTTCCATGGAAATTTTAGTTTCTGCCGAATTCTAATTGTGTTTTGTTTGCCTCCCGCAGCCTTAGTATTAGTGTACGACTACTATCCCAGCTCACAGACATTGCTGGCCAAATACTTTACGCCCGCGCCGGAGACCAACGGTTACACTGATCCATTCCAAGGCGAAGCTCGCCCATTCAGGTGGGTAAACCAAAGCAAAGGCTCATGTCAGATGACTATAATGTACCCATTGCAGTCATAAGAGTAACATGCAGCGGACCAGCAACGGACCATTGCTGCCGGAGGCCACCATCTGGTCGATTATCATGCAGCTAACCGCCGGCCTGAGGGCCATACACCAGGCGGGGCTTGCCTGCAAGTACGTTTGATAGATAGAAACTGATAGATAGATATAGATATTAATCCCTTACTTTCCATTGCCAGGGTACTGGATCCCACGAAGATCATTGTGACGGGCAAACGAGTGCGCTTCAGCTCCTGTTGCATATCGGACATTACGCAGTTCGATCCAAACGCGGCCAATCCCCTGGCTCTCGTTAACATGCATCAGCAGGTAAAATAGAAACACGAATAGACTGTAGACAAAGTTTAATTGATGTACTTTTACTTGTACATACGTTAACAGGACGATCTGACCGCGTTGGGTCGTTTGGTATTGGCGCTGGCCTGTCGCTGCCTTCAGTCTGTGCAGCGGGACAATGTCCAGTCGAGCATTGACATGGTAACGCGCAACTACTCCACCGATCTTCGTAACTTCATTGTGTAAGAAAATACAGCCACATGCAGCGGCTAGAATTATTCTTAATAATCCCCTACGACTGATTTGGCGCGTTGCAGTTACCTCTTCACCACGAACCGCCGATCTGTAACCGATCTGATGCCGATGATTGGTGCCCGTTTCTATACTCAACTGGATGCGCTGCAGAGCCAAATCGATATGCAGGAGGATGAGCTGGCCAAGGAGATGGAGAACGGGCGCCTCTACCGAATATTGGTGAAACTAAACAGCATCAACGAACGGCCCGAGTAAGTCCCCAGAGATCAGAGATCAGAGATCAGAGTTCAGAGCTAACTCATCATTCTTCATCGACTGCGATTACATTTGCCCATTGTTCCATTTATTATAGTTTTAATTTGGACTGCACCTGGTCGGAGACTGGCGATAGATACATGTTGAAATTATTCCGTGATTATTTGTTTCATTCCGTCACCGAGGATGGCCGGCCCTGGATGGATCACGCACACATTGTACAATCCCTCAATAAGCTGGATGCCGGCTCCATCGAGCGCGTAAGTGGAAACGAGAGAGGAAGCGATGGAGAGAGAGGAGAGTAATGCGATTCCGATTCCTAGGTGCAACTGATGTCGCGCGACGAGCAGTCTGTCCTAATTGTTTCCTACGCTGAACTCAAGAATTGTCTGGAGAACGCCTTCTCCGAACTGATGTCTAGTGCGGCCAATTGATGAGCCTCAACACCTCAAAATGAAACTGAAAACACGCGCAGCTCTCCCTAGCCACCCCAGACCCAATACCCGAAATGATCCTCCCCCCCAATACGACTACGATTAAAAGAATTAAACATAAGCGAAACATTAATTATGACTAAGACATTTTGGCGCAAGCCGATCAAAACAGAACCCCCCCCCTCCACCAAAACGATAAGAACCCTAAACATCCATTCAAATACGAAAGTTTATATTGATAAGCCAAAACGGAAAGAAAGAAAGAAAACTGATGATATCCCCCATGTTATGTTTAGCTCTTAACTCTACATTTTAGGCATTTAAACAACCGAAATCCACTACAAACAAAAGAAACAAAACAATAATTTAACACAAAAAATCGGTAGATATCACGAGAAGAGCATAAACCACATCCACAAACCACAAAAAAAAAGCAACTTTTTGAAAACGAAATCTCTCCAAACAAAAAATACACGACAAAAACTTCAAAATACAAAAAAAGGTAAACGATACAAAAAAAAGAAAAAAAAGAAAACAACTAAACGTAAAAGCAAAAACAAAAGCAAACAAAAAAACTTGAAAAATTCTTTAAAGAGAAAAAAAAGGGAAAAAGAACAAAAAAAAGTTAAAAAGAAAACGAAAAGTAAACTTGCGAAAGAGCTGAAACAACATGGATCTATTTTTACAGAGCTAAGAGAAGAGACAGAGAGAGAGAGAGAGAGAGGAATGGATGAAAGTATTTATAAGTGTGTATTAAAAAAAGGTCATAAGAAAAAAAATTGTAAAATTTTGCAACAATAAATAACTGTAATAACAAAAACAAACAAAAAATATTGCGCTGCAGTGCAGAAAAAAGCGTTGAGCAACAACAAAAAAAGAAAACCACTTGAAAGCAGAATACAAATGAGGACAAGGAACCACATCAAATGTTTATAAAGCATGTCTAAAAAATGAGCGAATGTATGCCTCTAACAGCCGCCCTCTACCGCACCCCTGGCTTCCAAAAACCGGAAAAGATTATGAAATTGCAAAAAATAAAGCTTAAGCGGAAGCGGAAGACGAGGAAAGGAACAGGAAATGGAAATGGAAGACAAGAAACAGCAACCGAAAAAACGTTTTTATTTTTCAACTATGTATTTTTTATAGTGAAATATTTTTAACAAAAAAACAAAAAGAAAAGAAGCAAAAAAACAAATTTTCTAAAGACAGTTTAAAACGTTTACAAAAAAACCAAACCAAATGCAAAGTGCAACTACGAGTATGTATTGTATGTATGTAATTGTAAAGAATGAAAAACAAAAATGTAAATGTTGGTTCAAGGAACATGCAAAGCGACGCACAGCGCGACTTTAGAAAGTAGCTCAAACCACAAAAATAAAAACAAAACAAAAACGATATTCAAAATCTGATACTGAAACTGGTACTGGCAGTGAAACCGTAACCGTAACCGTAACTGTAACTGTAACTGAAACTGAAACTGTCTAGGCCATAGCGTGATATGTACATACATCCATTTTGAGCGAGTCTTCGATCAACTTTATCTGCGTTCGAATAATTTGTTTACGATCTTAATCGATTACACTCTGATGCAAATGTATATTGTAATGCACGCGCTGAAATTCCGAGTACAATATTTTACTAACGAAAGTCTGTATCTAGCTCTAAAACTGTAAAACTCCAGAACTCCACACCTTTCTCGCCCCCACACCCACTCGCAGGCAGTCCAAAAGTCGCGTTGAGCCAGCGCGAACGCATATCACACTCCGAAAACTGTCAACCGTAAACATCCGCGATTCGTATCAGAAAGAGAGCGAAGGAACAGGAGAAATATTAAAAGGCTTCAACTACTCCGCACCACCAGCAAACAAAACAAAATAAAAGAACAGAAAAGTAAAGTAACGAAAGAAACGTATTCAATGGAGAAGGCAAGGAATTTGTAATACATATTAAGTGCAATTTGATTTGGAGACTCTTGCTAACTTCAAACACGATATCATTATTTTGTTGTACAAAACAGTAAGACGAAAACAAATACCAAGCAAAGCAACAAATCGTAAGGATCCAATTTTACAGAGTCCACTCATAATTCCTCTAAGCAAAAACGTTTCCCATTTTTGGCAATGCAATTCTATCCTAAGTGTTATACAACAAAATATTCTGTAGATGCTGTGGTTTCTTTACCAGCTATGTGTGATTTATAATAATTTTTTGTACTTGTTGTTGGCCAAACTCGAGTTATTCAGATGAATTGATTTGTGATTTAACTAAAATTTTACAATTATTTTTCTTGATTTTTTTTTTATTTTTGCTTTACCTTTCCTAACTAATTTGTACTTTCCCTACTCTCTGCATAAGTTTTGTCCGAATTACCGCGTACTTTCTTTTTCAATTCAATTACTGTATACATCAACGTAAGACTAATTATTTAATTGAAACAACAAAACGAGTAAAATAAAACAAAATGTATAAAAACTTTTTGAGAAAACCAATAAAAAAAATAATAAAAATTTTAAATCAACAGAATGCTTTTATGAGAACGTAATTCAACCGATTGACCTTAAACTAATTGTGCTTAAAGGTCCCAACTGAAGTATTATCCTATGTACGTACGTATGTGCAGATAATCAATTCAGATAATTATATATTTATTTATATTATATATTATATATTTATATTTATATATATTTATATTATATATATTATATATATTTATGATGTAGCGATGGACGTCTTGTTGTTCTCATTACGGGTACAAGAACATCATCGATTAGTTGTATATGTATATGTATACTATATATATGTATAGTTGTATATGCTCGCTCTAGTTTTATTCTCTCGTACATATGTATATATATGAGTACCAGGTTCAGGACTTTATTGTCATTTTGACGGTTTTCAGCTCAAGCTAAAAGTTATTTGTCAGTTAAATTTGTCAGTTCCGCTCGACAAAACAATGACATCTGTATGTATGTATGTATGTATGTACCAATGCTTTGAGAAGTCATCTTCTTCCTCTTAGTTGTTTCAGCACTCGAGTGCCCAGTGTAAGAATTCGTCGCTGTTGAAAGATGTATTCAAGCGGAAAGGTGGAACCTTCCCAGCTGTCCGAAGGGTCCTTGCGTTGGAGTTGATCCTTGTGTTGATACCACTGACAATTTTAGTTTGAAGTCTAACAAATTTCGAAACAATATGATTATTTAGGCTACAAACAGAAACCACATGTGCCTCGACATTAAAATACACCGGTACTCAGTTACTATATAAATGTATATCAACATATATAGTATCTATAAATATATATATATCCTAGACTAGGATGCATAGGAAAGAGCTAGCAGTGCACCGCGGTGGGATGAAATAAACACGCAGGCCACGCCGTGCGCTCTCCCGCCGAGTGCATGCCGGACATGAAAACTGCCACTCAACGCTGCTAAGCCTCTCTGGGAGAAGAAATGTCAGCCACGACCGTTAACTTGTCTTCCTCATTGCGGGTGAACATCAATAATGATAGCAAAGATATCTGAGGACCGCGTTGAGAGGACTACTAGTGTAGATTCCCTCAGCTCAATGAGCAAGGGGCAGGAAATCAAGTCAGCTTCAGACTTAACTGTTATATTGGAAATTTCACATATTGCCTTATTTATACACAAGCTAATACCTCCCGCTCGACACACAAAAACAGTACACAAAAGACTACACACTCCCACTCCCACATACAACTACACAATTTTACACAGTTTCAGGTGCTTTCCGCACTTGAGTGCCCTGTGGAAAGGATTCGTCGCTGTTGGAAGATGTATTCAAGCGGATACGGGAGGGACCACTGTCGAGGCTGCCATTGTCTGGTGTGCGAATGCATCGGAAAATCCACAGGCAGGCGACGGAGGCGTCAGCTCGCCGCTACCCTTCCTGCTCGTCGGTTCCATGCGGTGAAGGTGATCCTTGTGTTGATCCCAATAATTCTGATAGTTTTGGCACGGGCTGCTGGCGGAGCAAAAACTGTAAAATCGAAAGAAGCACCCAGAATCAAATCGGCTGGAGCAAAAATTCTAAAAACTAATGCAGCATCAACTACTGCACCAGCCGTGGGAGCAAGCAATGTAAAAGCTGACGAGCAGCTTGGACAGAAGCTCTGGCCTGCCGAAGACAACAGCCACTTCATGGGCTACCCGCCATATTCACAGGATCCGTTCATCTTTCGTGAAAACCCCAATGGAAAAGCTAATGCAGCCGACAACAACTACGGGGGCTTCCCGTCATATTCCCGTGATCCGTTATTCTTTGCACGGGCTGATCGTGCCACAAACAGGATCGTAAAAGCTGATGATGATGGACCAACCACTGCAAGTGATGATGGGGGAGGAGCAACTACCATGAGTTCGGAATCGTTAGATGTCATTTGGCGCGTGGGCTATTTGGGAGATGGTACGACACACGAGCAGCTTGGACAGAGGCACTGGCCAACCGTAGAGTACACCAAATATGTGAACTACGCGCCATATTCACGGGACTTGGCCTCTACCTCCAAGGCCTTGAATCCCGTTTACGACTTTACGCATTTCATCTTGGATCTGGCGATCACCGAGGAGCCAGCCCTGCCGCCGGGTGAGTACAGCCAGTCGAGCTTTTGATTCTGATTGGCATTCCTTCCCTTGCCTTGCCAGGCTATGTTGTGGCGACGTCCGAAGGCCAATTGGTGCTCGGTCCCAAGGTGCATCAGAACGATTGGGCTGCACTGCTGGATCGGTACTGGTTTCTGTTGCTGTTCGTGATATTCCTCTTGGCGTGGATCATTGTCATACCTTTCGTTGGGTAAGTTGAGGGTCCCCAAAACGTCCTCTTCTCATGCCACTTCTCACTGCCACACACACTGCAGAGTGTGCTACTGCTGCCTGTGCTGCTGTCTAAGGTGCAAACAGGGTTGTCTGCAGTGCACGGGTCGCAAGGACTTCCGATGGCGCATTTGTTGCGGCGTATGCCTCTTCCTGATAATCCTTGGTCTGATGTGAGTCTGGTTGGAGTCAGTCAGACTTGATGGCAGGCAAAAATAATTAGCTTGCGATTGTCCGTCCGTAGCTTTGGCCTTGTCACAGCGTTTGTGGCGAACAAGTTCATGGATCGGGGCTTTGGGGAAGCCAAGGTGACAATGCGACGTGGCAATGATGACACTTGTGTCTTTCTGAATGATGTGGCTGAACACATTCACCACCTGATGGTGTACAACTACCAGGAGCTGGAGGCCCACTTCGATGAGCATCTAAATAGTGAGTGCATCCTGCCCATCTGCTGCCATCTGTGCCCCCCACACCCATCTTCCATTCGTATTGCAGATGCGCATGATCACATCTTTCTGGACCTGGCGGACACTTCTGAGGGTAATTCTCTCACTGAACTGGAGCGCATTTTAGACAATATGCCAAAAGCCTACCAGTTGATGAAGCAAGTGAATCTTCTGGAGAAGGAAATCCGCCTGCTTGGGTCCCAGCTCAGAGACGGTAACTATGTTGTGTTGGCTTGGCCATCGTCATCGTCATCGCCATCTGTTTGCCATTTGCAGGTCTGCGGGGCATCAAGCGAACCGTTAGCTACGCGGCCTCCTGGCTATGCCCCTATACGCACTGCTATAAATTCCACCACGATAATCGTATAGCGCTTATTGATACTTCATCCTGTCTGCACTTTGACTTGGTATTGCCAATTTCCCTGCTCAGAACTTACCCAATGGCTAAGCTAATACGCGTGTGTGTCCTTTCCAGATTCCCAATTCTACAGTCTATCTGGAGGCAATTGAGAAAATTATAAAGAATGGTTATCATGCTATACCAAAAAGGGCTATAGTCCGTCTCAACGAAGTTAAAGTTATGATCGGGAAACAGATGAAACTCGTTATTCCGCCAATGTTGAAAAGCATTGACAATGGACGGCTTATGTATTTGGAAAAAGCCACAGAAATACGCGACATAATCGAGGATGTCATTAGCGACATTCACCTTAATACACTGAGCAGCACAAAGACCTTTGACGATGTCTACGAAATGTTTGGCCCAGATCGCAGTGCTCTTAACCAAATAATTATCACATTAATCTTTATAGTGAGTCGAACAGCGGGCTGTTCCTCGAGCGGAAAGAGCAACCCCACTTTCTCATAATTGCATCGCCCTTAGATTATCGTAATCCTCAGTTTGGCTTTGATATGCGGCTGCGTTGGGTCTGCGCGAAGGGCACCTGGACGATCTGGATTTTGTAGCAAGGGCATGGCCGCCTCATGCATGCTAATGTGGGTGAAAAATCTTGAGTTCAGACGTAATGCGTAATGTAATTTGTGTGATTGTTTTCAGTGCCATTATCCTGATATTTTGTGTGTTCTCGTTCATCGCACTGGTTGGACTATTCTACTTGATGATCGGGATCGTAACACACGAGACCGCCTGTGCCACGTCCCATGGCGGTGATGATGCTGTCATCTTTCGCCAGCTCGACTCCCTGATCGATATCAATCGGCTTATGGCGCAGAATCGGCACGGCGATGGCACGTTGTCGTCGCGAACGCTAGCAGTGAAAAATTCAATCAAGGCCTGCCAGGCAAATGAGTCCATCTTTGAGCTGCTGATAAGGAGAAACGTTTTCAATATAAACGATTTGAGGAATAGGGAAATACTCGTCACTGACGATGAGGACACACCCTTGTTCGCTGAGGATTTATCCCAAGTGAAATTGTTAACAGACGAGGAGAAGATTAAACTCAATGAGATGCGCGAAGGCAATCTATCGCAGTACCACAGCATCCTATACAAGCAGCATCTGTGCACGAAATTTGTGCATATGGACATGAGTGTTCTGGCAGAAAAGTTACATGACATGTCCAACTTTCTCTCAGCAAATGAAAATAGGCCGGCTTCAATCTCTTTCAAGTTGGATTACACTAATACCCGGCTATACTTTGAACAAATGCACGAACCACTGAGGAGGTCCGTGCACAAAATATTGGATAAATTGCGACTGATCGACAGCCTCATTCTACACAATAACAATGACTTTAATACGTCTATTTCGTTACTGATGGAGGCGGCAGAAAAGTCCGAGAAATTTGTTAGGGAAATGGGAAGGAATTTCATCAATAAACTGGCGAAAAACCTTACGGCGACAACCAACGAAGTGATTGCAGAGTATGTCGAAAGGGTGATCTTAGAAAGCAAAAAAAACGTTGGACATTGTCAGCCCCTGGCATACATTTACTATCAAGGCGCTCACTTTGTTTGCACCCGTCTTGTGGATCCAATAGTGAGTACAGATTTCCACCTGAATGTCCCACCACACAATATCGTGTTACCCCCATCCCCTTGTAGAATGCATTTTGGGTGGCGATAATTCTGTGCGCCTTGCTCCTTCTACCGGCGCTCTATGTATGCCATCGCCTGATGTGCCTGTACCTCAAAGTCTATCCGATTATCGCTGTAGCAGGAGCAGCAGGAGCTGTGGCGAGGGGAGGGTGAGTCCTCGAACCGCAAAAATGGTTTATACTTGGAGTATAACTGACTTTCTTTCCCGCAGCTGTCCCTTCTGCACTGGTAAGCCAGCGCCGATTCGTATCTGCGTGGATGGCCAACAGGCGTATTGTGAGTGCCCCTTCGGCGCCAGGACAGACCAGGCGGCACAGCAGTCGGAACACCAAGTCCAATGGGCGGACACAAACCCGGTGACTGGTGGAAAAAGGCAAAAGAATGACTAAATCAAATCAAGGCTCGATGATTTACATAGTTGTACATTTACAAATGTAGAAAAATATCATCAGGGAATACTTTTCATACATATGTACATACTCAGCCGAACAGGGTGTAACACATGTGCAATATATGTATGTTCGTATGTACCACTTTAATCCATTATCGATGCCAGCCAGTGTCTTGTTACTGAGGAGAGAAGTGTGACCGAAACTGCCATTCCTAAATGTGCAGCTAAACCCAACACATTTGCAAGCACATCGAACATGTAACGCGCAACATGTATGATCGTGCATGCACGAACTTGCACGTCGTTCCATGCTGCGCAGTTCGAACTGGACGTTTGCTGTGCTGTGCTATGCCCTTAGAATTCCCAATTGGTTCTGGCGCGGCCAGCATTTGATTGCTGAACTGTGCGCTCGATCGTTACTCTGGCTTCTCTTCAATTGTCGAATAAATCTTTCGCCTTTTACTAAAGATTTCCGTGGAGAGGGGCACTCTAATGAGTCTAAAATAATTTTTTTTAGTGCCCTGTCGCAAGACCTGGGGCCATAAAGGATACATTGAAAAAGTTTAAAATAAAAGTTAGATGAAAAATAGTGCGTGCAGTGCGTGGGAGTTTGTGTTAATTATCGTCTGACTCTCGGTAGTAGCTGAAAACTAAGTAAAAGCAGAAAAACGGTCTCTCAAGTGAAGTTCTTCTCTCGCAGAAATCGATTTCGGATAATATCATCCCAGAAGTGTTGATTGGCAGGTAAAGTACACAAAAATACTTATATTAAACAATTTTATTTAAACTACGTAATTACAACTCTATAATACAAATTTTATTGATAAAACTTGAAAATGTACAATTTTCTTTGTGCGCCTGTTGTTCTGTTGTTGTTGTCATCATCAGATCATTAGATACGAAAGAGGGGGAGGAGGAGGATCTTTAAGGACGGGCAAAGACAGCAAAAGCTTTGTGAAATTAATGCGGAAACGATTTTGCTTTGATTTCGATTTAGACAAAAAAAAATGTTGATTGGTTGGTGTTTCTTATGATTATCACAGTATGGATATGATACACAGAAGTTTCGGGACGCTTCCATATGAACCATTTTGTTACCTCGCATTGAAGTCAACGGGAAACTGGTTGTTGGGGGTCGGGGAGGGGGGAGTTGTATTCTAGCAATGATTTCCGAACATGCGCGCATTTGTAACTAACACATAAAAACTACTTAGAGGGGCACTAACTAACCTTATTCAGTAATAATATTAAAAAAATTCAGCCGAAATGTAGCAAGTTTTCGAGTATTTTGTTAGTGGAGTTGGGCAGGGGGAGGGGGGCAGCAATAGATTTAGTTTCGTGGCAGTTTCGTTTCATAATTATTACTAGTTCTAGGGCATCCGCTTCATAATATTAACAAATCGAGTGGGCCACTCGTGGCGTGTTGGGGTAGGGTTGGGTGCAGCTTAGGCTGGTGCCTCCGTGGGGGAGTGGCATCCTTCGACATTCTCGGGCCAATCGCAGACATTCTCGTTGGGATTGAACACCAAGTTGGCAGGACATGGCATATGGTGCTTGCGCTCGCCCTCGCACATGTAGTAGTGGGTGCAGTCAGCCCAGTCCTTGTGATAGCTGATGTGGCCCTCCTCCTCGGCGCAGGTGACGTCATGAGCTGTGGCAGAGAAAGCGAATGGCTCAGCATTAAACAAAGTTCAATAAGGGCAAATCAGGAAGGGCGGGAAACCTACGATCTTTCGTTGTGTATGCGCCGCGTGGGCCATGGGACTCATAGGGTCCATCGTACTCCAGCGCAACCTTGTAGTCCTTCAGTTCATCGTTGAGGGCGTTCAACAGTGGATACTTGCCACTGCCGCAGCGGCCGGAGAAGTCGTCCATGTCAATGGACCACACCATAATGCCACCAAAGCCCTGCTCCTTCAGCCATTCGGTCTGCAAGCAAAATCCAAGTTAACAAAAGTATTCCGACAACACCCCCTTCGGCCGTCCAACTCACCTTCGTCTTCAGCGAGCGCTCGTCGTCAAAGCCAACCCACTGGTTGCCCCTGTAGGCGAAGGGCACCTGCTGCTCCGAGTCCCAGACCAGCGTTGTGTTGTCCGCCGCCAGGAAGGAGCACACCTCGTAGTAGCTGAGGAAGCCGGCCTCGTTGGTGAACTTGCCCGCCTTGCCGCCGCCCGACGATGGCGAGCCGATGTCGAACTGAGTGTCGTTGACCAGCTCGAAGCTGCGTCCGTAGGTGGGCATGCCGATCAGCAGCTTCTCCTTGGGGGCGCCCTGTTTCACCCACTCGCGGGCGCTGTAGTCGACGGTGAGCTTCTTCTGGTAGCCGGTGGCCGACTCCAGGGCAAACAGCGGCGAGTTGTGCCCCACCGTGCGCTCCCACTGGCCGTGGAAGTCGTACGTCATCACATTGATAAAGTCCAGATACTTGGAGATCTCCGGCACATCGTAGCCAGCGGCGATGGCCTCAAACGAAGCCGGCACAGCAGCCGTCAAAAGCAGACGCGGCAGCCCAGAGGACTTTGCCTCCCCCTCGAACGCGACGCGCAGCTCCTTCAGCAGGCTCAAGTAGGCCACACGATCCTCGGCACCGCGCGGGTACTCCCAGTCCACGTCCAGGCCGTTGAACTTGTAGTCTCGCAGAAAATCGATGGCCTCGTAGACGAACTGGTTCATGCGGAACACGTTGGAGGTGAGCTCCTTGAAGGGCGTCGAGCCGAAGGCCCAGCCCCCGATGGCCAACAAAATCTGCAGATCAGGATTGGCGTCCCGCAGGGCAATCACACTCTCGTAGTTCTCCGGATCGTCATCGGTTGCCTCCGTCAGCTTGTAGTCCTGCAGCGTGGCGAACGCGTAGACGATGTGCGTGCAGAGCTTGGGATCAATGTTCTCCGGCTGGAACTTTCCGGCACCAGGTCGCTTGGCGGACCAGCTGGTCAGATAGCAGAACACCTGCGCGGGACGTGCTGCAAAACGGAATGTGAAGTATTAGCAAATGGATCAACCTGATCAATCACATTGTGTGGGACTCACTGTTCTGTTCGATGGCATTGGCGCCGGACTTGATGCGCTGCTTCTTGGAACCCTGGGGCTTGCGCACCTTCTTCAGCACTTCGTCCACTGAGATTTTGATGGGTTCCGGTTTCTGTAAATATCGCATATCGCGCCGATTAGCTTAGCTGGATGGGATAAGTAGCGAAACTGGAGGCTGGGAACAAACCTCTTCGATGTCCTCGAATGTGGCGGCTATGGCTGTCCAGTTGACGTCCTTGGCCTCCTTGCCGCGTGATATGCCCAGCAGTTCCTCACGCATGGCGCCAATCAATGGGTACTTGACATTGCCGCCGCACACCTCGCCCTTGAAGTCATCCATGTCGATGGTCCACACCATGGCGCCGCCAAAGCCATTCGATTTGATCCACTGCATTTTGTTCCTAATGGCGCGCTCGTCATCGAAGCCCACCCACTGGTCGCCGTCGACCAGGTAGGGCACCTTCATCTCCTCGTCCCAGACGTAGACGGCACCGTTCAGCAGCATCTCACAGATCTCGTAGTAGGCCAGGAAGCCGCTCTCCTTCGTGTAGACTCCCTCCCGACCGCCGGCAGAGGCGGGGGCATTGGGGCCGTGTTTGTCGGTGTTCGCCAGCGTAAATGAACGCCCGTAGGTGGGCATGCCGATCACCAGCTTCTCCTTGGGGGCGCCCAGCTTGACCCACAGACTGGCAGCATTATCCACGGACAGCTGCTTGCGCCACTCGGAGTCCGTCGAGGGCGCATACAGCGGTGCATTGTGGCCCGTCTCCTTCTCCCACTTGCCGTGGAAGTCGTAGGCCATCAGGTTGATGAAATCCAGATAGCTGGCGATGGCCGGCACATCGTAGCCGCCACGCACATTGTCCGGTCCCACGGGCACGGCAGCGGAGAGCAGGAGACGCGGTTTCTTTAGCTCCTGGGCCTCGGCCTCGAAGGCCTCGCGCAACTCCTTCAGCAGCAGCACAAAGTTCTTCTTGTCGTCCGAGCCCTTGGGGTACTCCCAATCCATGTCCAGGCCGTCGAAGCCACGCTTCCGCAGGAAGGGAATGGCCGAATAGACAAAGGTCTGGCGCGTGTACCGTGTGGCAGACATGTCCTTGAACTTCTGGGTACCAAACGACCATCCGCCCAAAGCAAGCAGGATCTGGCAGGGCAGCGAAGAGAGGGCAGGGCATACATATATCGTATAAGTTCAATCTGTTTGGGGGAGCTGTGTGCTCGACTTACCTTCAGCTTGGGATTGGCCTTGCGCAGGCTCATCATGCGGTCGTACAGTCCAGGGACATTGTCCTTGGTCTCATCGTTGGACTCGTAGGAGCTCAGCTTGCCCTTCTTCAGCCAGCCGAAGGCGAATATGATGTGGGTGCAGAGATCGGCCGGTATATCCTCCGGCACAAATTTGCCAATCTTCACGCGATACTGCGACCAATTGGTGTAGTAGCAGACAATCTTTGGCGTGTTATCTTCCACCTTGGTCTTCTTGCCCTTCAGCGAGGATCCACTGGCCACCAAGGCCGATCCGCCGACTGCTGCTGCTGCAGCTCCTCCGCCCAGCTTCGACTTAGCGCGCAGACGGGTGCGGCGTACACTTGTGGTGGTGGAGGCGGTTATCTGATCGATGCGCTTCTCCGCCACGGGAGACTCGGTCGATTTCTTGGACTCGATCAAATTGCTACGCGACGAGCTGGCCGCTGTTGTGGGGCGTCGCAAGCGTCTCCGGGTTTTGGCTGAAGTAAAATCAAGATCAGATTATCAATTAAATGTTGCCCACCAAATAGGAGAGACTAATTACAGAATAGCGTTGATAGCTGTGATTGTGTGAGTCCTAAAATTGAAAATTATGCACCCCCACATCCATCGTACAATGGGATCATAACTTGAGTTCGACGCCTGCACAGGTGCCAGCTGTCTGTCATTTGAGCTACGAGCTGCTCCTCAAGTCATCCATCAATGGTAATGATGGGGGGCCTGGCGCAATCTTGATCGCAATCACTATCGTAATGGCCATTCCAGTGGATTTTCAACCACTTGGGATCGTCGGATTGTCCGATCGTTGATAGTTGTGTCGATAGTTTCGAATTAACGTGGATAAGATTGAGCCAAGCCAAAAGTCGTGACGCAGAGATTTACTCAATTCTGTCTATCGCAATAATAAAGATATCGAAGACAGATTTGCCGCACATACTCGTACTGTGAGTACATATGCATGGCATGGCATGGCATGGCATGGCATGGCATGGCATGGCATGGCTCTTGCCCACACCGGTTTTGGGCATTATCTCGCTGCTCAATTTCGCTAAATGAAGTCGAATTGTTGCAGCAGAAATAACAATGCGAAATTATTGCTAAACCTGTTTAAATACTCGTATTTCATTAAATGGCCTGTGTCTTTTCCATTTTGCAGTCCACACCTCACTTGGGCACTGCGCGCAAGTCCACACACACACACACACACAGCCTCAGCCTCGTGCACCACAGTCCCCATGAATGGGAAGGAATGACTATTAATAGCAAT